TGAGGTACCTAAAAGCACCGTTAATGAATCGGGAGGATTCGAAATGACGTGTTTTGAGCGATGTCGACTGCTTTCCATTCTGTCCGCAGGATCGGGAATGTTTGCAAAACGATGAAACACCCTAGCACCTAATAAACTTGAAAGGAATTAGGCAGTATTAATTTTCGATGAAGAAACTCTTGTTACTGCAGATGCGTTAGAGATTATATTAGCGACAGTTAAAAGTCCTCGGTGGAGCGTATCGTCTGATGAAGAGTTCGGTAGAGTAATCAATGTGGGATCTTTTGTCATTACTTACACTGCAGTTCACTTTATTGCTGGCTCACCCGTGCTCACGACTTATACAAGTGCAGTGTTCGCTCACGCGGCCGACTCATTAACTCTTCAGGTCATCATATCTCATTTCTGCAAGATAGCCGTCGGAGCACCGTGGTTTGTGAGGAATGATGATCTTCACGCGAACTCCAATTAGGACTGATTTCTGAATACAGCGTCAAAACGCTTCTTCGAAAGAGTAGCGCATCACGATTTCACTCTTATCGTAATCCTCCTCCAACTACATATCTGACCCAAATGACTGGGCAACGCAAAGCCGCCATTGCCCCAAACATCTCTTGTCAGGCCATCCGGATCCACTGATCCCCTCTCAGTGCTATTAGACCTTTTTTTTTATGCTTGACGATTGATGACTTGAGATATAAGTTCTAAGGTCTTAGTATAATTACAACGGCTGCCCCACCCTTCAAACCGAAACGCATTACTGCTTCACGGCAGAAATAGGCGGAGTGGTGGTACCTACCCGTGCGGACTCGCAAGAGGTCCTACCACTAGTAAAAACCTCTCCACACAGCGGTCACTGCTCTCGTCTGACTCGTCAAATGCAACGGAGCAAGAGTTCGGCGTGCAACCTAGCCCGTAGACAACCTTCTGAGTTTCTCGCCGGATCTTCTCAGTGGGTCGCGTTTCCGATCCGGTGGTAGATTCAGGCAAACACTCCTCTTGCTAGGGCTAGTGCTAAACCTCCTTCAGGTTGAGCCCGTGAGCTCATCTACCCGTCCGGATGTAGCTGGAACAACCCCTTAGGCTGCCAGCGTATAGGATGGGAAAAATCACCACCCAAAAAATCTCTGCAAACATCCCCATCCATTTAAACATTCCCAAAAAAACTTTATCATAGCCGCAGTACTACTACACAATTATTTTATTTTATTCGAATGTCGGCATTTATTTGCTAATTACACGTTCATTAACAATACAATCATTAATTACCACAATATTGAAAGTTCAATCTGTAGCTCAATGTGTCTTGATTACGGCGCCGCGGCGTCCAGACAAAATGGCTATATAATTATTTTCAATTTACCGGCAATTATACTTTCCTTGTGTACTTACTCTGCTAAATAATTCAACGAAGCTACCAGCTGTAACGTAAGCTGTTGAAGATAAATACTCCGGGGGACTAGTGGGGACAGACACAAGAACCAGAAGTTTAACTTCGGCGGGTTTATTTAAATTTTTTTTTTTTAGTTTTTTCCTTAAGTATAGGGTTGAATAAAAGGTACCGCTTAAAAAAACCTTTGACGTTGAAAAAACGTTGAAAGAACCTTTTATTTGGTTAGCTCTATCTAACCACGATATTTTCTAATTCAATATTATTTTTTCATAATATACGTATCTGACAATAAATAAATTCATGCACAGTTTTAGCAACGTGGTTATTTTGTTTATCATACTTCATCAATTCAATATTAACACACATTAAAATTAGTATTTAGATGCTCTCAATATCACAACAGAAGTATTTACCTGTACATAAAAATCAAAGATAACGGCACTTAAACTATAGTCGTGTTGACTGACGCACGATTTAAAAAAAGCCTCGTTAAATATCTCCCAAGCTACAATTATCGTCTGTGGTACGGGCCCCCGAACTCACATAACACAAAAACAATTACATCATACTCACGTCATTGATCTGTTGATAACACTTTTCATTTCAACAAACTAGGCTAAATGATGTTGTGCGATACAATACAATGATTATTGATTTTGTGTAACGCTAATTTTTATTGCCGTCGATTGCAAATCAGCCCTATGGTTAGTCGGATCATTGACATCAATAATTTTGTTACCCAACGAAGGTGCGTCCACAAAAACACTGCACAAATTACCTGTTCATCACAGATGTTTATAATACTGTTACACCGGTAAGAGTAACGCCATCTACCGCAGAATAGCCGAACGAATATTGAAGGATCTAATAGCTCGAGAAATACAACGCCATCTATTGTCAGATAGCGGAAACACACAATGCTCGACTTTTGTGGAATATTCTCGATAATTCTAGGAATGTCGTATCGACTATCAAAGCGTTGAAGTGTGAGATATGTGTATGTATGTATCTGGCAAGGCAGGGCCCAACCTCGCCGACGGCGTCTCAATGCCCCGTCCCCACTCCATGTATTGTTAATATGCTATCCTTATGTATTGTTAGTATGTTATCCTTATGTATTGTTAGAGTAATAAAATATAATATTAAAAAAAAAAGGTTGTCCACCGGACCAATATGTTTGAGCCGGTGCGCATATAAAAAAAAAATACATACATTTAAAAGGGATGAGAGGAGAGGCTACCACACCGCCACATTAAAGAAGGACCTCACGAGAAGAAAGAAGAGAGAAGAAGAAGAAAGAAAAAGACAGAGAGAAGAGTAAAACAACATGCCAAATTCTCGATTCGATCCACACTCAAGAATCGTACCAGCAACCTCATCACCCCTGCCTCGTCAGGCAGGGAGCCCAAGCCCGGGCAAAGGGGATTGTCCCGAGGCCCGACCCGTGCCTCCGCAAGGGGACACGAAGACCCGACGACACGCAGTCAGTTAGTAATCGGAACTATTCGAAGCGAAACAGCGAACGGATCACCTGAAGCGAAGCGGAAGAAGCGAATTCAGAATTTTAAAATGTTCTGTCTGTTTTCTTAAACTTATTATTTATTCGTAGGTTCTAAATAATAAATACAGTTTTAAACTGTACTTTAGTGAAACATTTATCCCGAACCCCAGCGCGTAAAAATACAATATAAACTTTAATTAATGTGATTAAAGTTTATATTGTATTATGAGATTAAAGGAAATCATAAGGTTTCCTTTCTATGATATAAATAGCTACGGAGCCCTAAAAATAGAAATGCAAAACCTCGTTTATTTAATAATAATAAAATAAAAGGCTAGTTAAGAAAGATTAATTTTTACGAGAAAGTGAAAAAAAAACAAATTGTTACCCCGACCGTTCTCGTCTTGCGAAACGACGAATACGACACGTCATAAACAACGTCGGTCTCTCATTAAAAAACCGTAGGATAACAAGGTCGTTAACGGCGCTGCGGCTCTCCGCGTTCTTTGATTTATAACATGAAGCGTAATTGCTAATTTGAGCATGTGCGCAGGATCAGGTGTACGGTAACCGTTAGTCAAATTAAAGGCGAACTGAGAACCGGCTGTGAGACCGTCTCCAACAATAACGAAACAGCTTTTTTTTTATTGCTTACTAGCTGACCCGGCAGACTTCGTAGTGTCTCAATCGATAAATAAAGGATCTAAACTTTTGTATAATATAAACTTAAACAAACAAAAGGAATCCATCCGACGGGGGACACATCAAAGAAAAAACAAAATTGTTATTTTTATTTAATTCCAAGTATTTTCATATTTATCTACCTTTTAAACCTTCTCTGGACTTCCACAAATAATTCAAGACCAAAATTAGCCAAATCGGTCCAGCCGTTCTCGAGTTTTAGCGAGACTAACTAACAGCAATTCATTTTTTTATATATAGATAGATATGGGTGGACAAGCTCACAGCCACCTGGTGTTAAGGGGTTACTGGAGCCCATAGACATCTACAACGTAAATGCGCCACCCACCATAAGATATAAGTTCTAAGGTCTCAATATAATATCATTAATAAGGCGTCAGCTTTCGTTCAAGTCGCGAAAGCACGGGAAAGCTACCTTTGATTTATTTTCAAAGTTTAAGCTCTTAATTGCTTCGGCTTTGTGCTATGGGCTCCGCAGCTATAAACCGCAGCAGATTTCCTGTTTAATATCTTGGGATTACTTGGAAAGTTATCGTTCAAGGGTCGACAGGGAGTCTCAGCTATATGGGAACCATAAACAATGATTTATGTGGGAAAACTGTTAATGGTGACTTCTCCTTCCACTGTGGGGAAGGGAAGGCTGGTTAGTAAGTAAGTCAGTGTTTAAAGGTTTTTTAGTTACCACGCATCTAAAGCCCGAGCGTCCGATCACCAGCGGTGCAGAACCTGAAAAACACATAGGGTAGTGGTGGCGTATGCTTTTGTTATTGCTCTAAACATGCAGACCAGATCCAGTCTACCTGACGCTATCAGACCCTTTAGATATATCAAAAACGTGTACCGCCACCCATCTAGAGACATAAGCTCAAAATTATAACGGCATTGTCCAACGGCAGTTCCTCCTTGAGAACAAAAAACCCCTCAAGGGACATAGATATGTTCTACCATCATTAAAAAAAGACGTACTGGCGAAAGAACGGAAATCTAAGGGATTAGACATATTTCATATTAGATGTGCGCATTCCATTTATTTACTTTCAAGTATTTGCTTTCAAACAAAGCGGTATATCGGTGGGATACACGGTTTAATTTTTTTGGTGTATGCTTAAATGTATGTCTAAAAAAAACATAATGAAGAGGGGAGCAGCTTTTGTACTGTTAAAAAAAACTGAGACCTTAGAACTCTTGTCTCGAGGTGGGTGGCGGCATTTACGTTGTAGATATCTATGGGCTCTGGTAACCCCTTAGCACTAGGTGGGCCGTGAGCACGTCCACTCATCAAAGCAATAAATAAAATAAAATAAACGAATACTCCTTAGGATTTATCGCTGTTTGTCCTTTATCCTTTTTCCTGTGGTCTTTTACATTTCAATTTGATGTCACACAATTTTTATGTTGTTTCAGACATTCAGCTGTGGACGTCAGCAATGGCTCCAATAGGGAGTTGGAGAACAACCGATGGCAACCACCGACAACGCATGGGTTAGTCTTTCACGACAGCTTACCTAACCACAAAAATTTCGATTATGTTACCAGTGCTTTATATGAAGTCGGCGCGGCCCTAAAAAAATTGTATTTTCACATTACGTAAGTAATTCACATAACGATACTCTAGCTTCCATAGATAGTCCCCCGAAGAACTGTTTGAGATTACACCGCTATCTCCCTTTTCCAGCAACTGCCTCCATTAACAGTGGTTTAAAGAGATAATATTCGAATCCAATGACTTATCCCGAGCGCTACGACATACATAAATTGCCAAACGATATTTCAAACACCAGCTACTTCCATTTGACTCCATACAAAAGAGGACCGTTTGTATTGTCGATAATCCAATTCACTCAAACCGCCTGGAATCTTTGTGCCTTCTGACTTCGGTTCACTCTAGGAATTGTTTGAGGTGATCCCATCATCTCGTTTTTACCATCGCACCGCTCGCCACCAGAGCACAGTTCATCCACACTGCCAAGTACCACTGCCCTTATCCAGAGTACGTTTCCAGAGACCTTTTCGGTATGTTGTACCATCTGGCTTTGAAATGAACTTCTCTCTTCGGTGTTTCCTGAGCCCTATAACCTTTCTTTCTTCAAAGAGATTTGCACAGAATATACAGCAATAGGCAGCGGCTAGGATGTTGGCGTCGAAGACGTCCATTAAAAGACGGTAACCACTCACCATTGGTTGGGCCGTAAGCTCGTCTGTCTAGAAGGGCAATAATAAAATGAGATTTGCGCCAATTCGCTAAGTTCGTAATGGGTAACGAATTGCCGATACTTTGACCACTTACTAGCAGCGGCAAACGCGCCTTCTTAATTTAGCACTAAAAATTTAAACACAAAACAATATCAATTTCCTAAACTATGTATAAATACTCAGCAGTTTTTGGGAAGCTTTTCATGTTTCAAGGAACCGCGTTGATGAAGCAGCTTACGGAAGCCACCCAGTTTGGTGCGAGACTTTGGATTGCGTATATCAGCTGATATTTAATTGCGTTGCGTGCTTTTCAAGAAACACGACTAATAAATACTGCTTCGATCCATGACATTATCCTTGTTATCTGGATCGGGTCTTATATTTCAAAGATAGAGGTACTGAAATAAGAATATTGATCGGCAGCTATAAGGGACAAACAAACAAAAGTTACTTTCGTTTTGGCTTGGACCGGTCAAAATAGTTTTAGTCCGTTTGACAGTAAAACATTTTTAAAAGTTCTATTGTGATTCAAAGGTCGTAACAAAACAATTTCAACTCTGACTTCTTCTTAAAAGATTCGAAACGTCAATTCGAGCTCCTCAGGGAGGGAACTTGCCAGGCTCTCTCTATTTATTGAAGATGCTACTCTTCTACATTACCGTGACGAACGTTCGCGAAAAAAAATGTGCGTCTCGGAATCTTATTTTAACTACATTTATGTAATATTGTAATTGTTTAAGTAAAGAAAAGCATAGATTATTGCTTATATTGTTACGCCGGTAAGAGTAACGCCATCTATCGCCCGATAATCAAACGAATTTCGAAGGATCTAATAGCATCTAGAACGCTTGAGAAGTACAGCGCCATCTATTGGCAGATAGCGGAAACACAATACTCGACTTGTATGGAATAGTCAAGGGATGTGGTATCAGCTATAAAGCGTTGCAGAGATGGCACGCAGTCAGTTGGTAATCGGAACTACTCGAGGCGAACGGATCGTCTGAGACGAGGCGGCAGGGATGAATTGGGAATTTTGAGGTGTTTGTGAAGTGTTTTAAGTGTTCTAAGTACTAATACAGTGTTGACTTGTAATTCGGTGGAATTTGTATTTTTTCTCCTACCGATTCCGAAAGATCGGTTTTCGTCCCGCTGTACAGAGAAGAAAGTGTAACTTTTCCTCCCGCTGTACAGGGAAGAAAGTGTAACTCTTCCTCCCTGGGTACCGACAAGTGCGTTAGTGTGCGTTAGTGTCTACGTCTGCTCTCACGCACCTAAAATTGTCCGCCTTTTCTCCCTTGGTGCACAATGTACTATGTCCCGAACCCCAGCGCGTAACAATATTTTATGTATAATATGATAATCTAAATAAAATTCTATTATAACATAAATTGGAAAATATATATATTTTAGTGGCGCCACGTAAATGTGGTACCTTCTTTAAAAACCAAGCTACAAACTTTTCAGTTTCAGTAGAGAACGAAACGGGAGCGATACGTGATTTGTTTCTAAAACCATTTTCGTGTTGTTTTTTCAACGTCGCATTATTTAAAATAGCTTTATTTTTGCAAGTACTGTAAGATACTGATTTTAAAGATACTAGAGGTCCCGCAGTAGTCGAAATTCGACTATAATTGGAATTGTAAGTTTGTACATTGTAACATTATGATTGTATTTTATACTTCTATAATCACAAATTTCGCCAAGGCTACACTATAAAAAATATTAATAAAGACAAACAATATTTAATTTATCTCAATTTGACAACAACCTCAAGAACAAAAGTTTGACAATAAATAGTATGCATGCGTGTGTGCATCAAATACATGGTATGTAGTGTGTGAAATGTTTTCTTTATTGATTTAATGTATATTTTATGCATTATGATAAAAAAATATGAGCATTGTTGCACTTCTTCTCTACATTCTCTGTAAGTGTGGAAAATTTCGTACTCCTCCGTCCGCATAATTTTCGTAAAAAGGGATACAAAGTTTTTGCTTCACGTATTAGTATAAAGATTACGTTTAAGAAGTTTCCAACTTGCACCAGATTTTGAAATCCCCTGATTTATTTCTTCTAGATTCTTTAGGCTTGGTGAAATGTACCTAGCATTCAATAAATATTAGTTTAAAAAAACTAACAAAACACGCTTTTATAGAAAATCAGAAAAAAAGGATATTATCAAAATAGCCCTTCTACTCATATCTGTTCATAAAATATTTATAACTACTGATACTATGCACCCCACGCTTTTTTTTACTATAAAATCATTTTTATTACACTATTTTTAATTCAAATTTACTAAAATTTATTTTGTATTTTTAGTTGGAATGTCTATAAAAGCGTATTTTTTTAGTTTTTTTAAACTATTATTTATTTTTCATTTTTTAGTTGAATTTCAATTTTTTCATTTTGTTTTTTGTTTTTGTTCAATTATTTTTTTCAATATTGAATTATCATCGGTCCTTAATAAGTATACCAAATTTCAAGTTAATCCGACGTTTTGAGGTCAAAATCATGTTCAAAGACTCCGTTACATACTAACATACATACGTCTGAAGCTAATAAAAGCGTATTAAAAAGGTTTAAAACATTCTTTATTATTCATGGCTTGTGGTATTTTAAGCCCGCATGGTTAGGTTGAGTGTCTACCACGACCTTACTCCTGCCGCTTTACAGGTCTTCCATTTCAGTTTGAGGAGTAGGATTGCTGACGTACTGACTAGATTGAGAATATATTAACATTGGCATATCTACCGGTTGTAGTAATCATATAAGTTGTAAAAATATATTTGCATCATACCGCCCTAAAAGACATGAACTCACCAAACATATTCGCTAAAAAAATAAAAACACGCCTAAAATCATCAACCTTTTTTGCATTGAGTTTAGTAAAAGTGTAGTAAAACTAAAATACAAAGACAAATGTAAAACAGGTTTGCGAGTGAAGATCTAGAGGGACCGCGTTTGTCCCTCGAAATCATTTGATCCCGGTAAATAAATTCCACGGACTTGGGAAAGGTCAGTTTTATTTAGGAAAAAAACCTGTTATTTCAACCGCCCCTGGGATTTACTGTCAGTAAATTGAAGGAGAAATGTTGATGAATTTGAATGGAAAGTTTGTGTATTTATATTTACTTGCTCTTGCGTAGCAAAGGGGAACTCTGAACTCCACCAACTCTCAAACGGTACTCGACTTTTTTCGTATATATCTATATCTATACTAATATTATAAAGAGGAAAGATTTGTTTGTTTGTATTGAATAGGCTCCGAAACTACTGAACCGATTTGAAAAATTCTTTCACTGTTTGAAAGCTAAACTATTCCCGAGTGACATAGGATATAATCTTTTTTGAAAAAAATTAGGGATCCTTACTAAAACTCCAATAATGTAACCCAAGGTGCAAAAAAAATTCCCTAAAATATTCTTTACATCGCGTGCCCTGCGAAAACTATTGATGATAGAATAATGTACAACGACTTTGTACCGCAATAAGTTTTCTTTTGTTTAAAAAAATAAAACAACGTCAAATATCGTTGAAATTGTTGTTAAAGACCCGAGCGGAGCCGGAGCGGGCCGCTAGTCATTTCATAAAAACGCAAATGTCGTTTGACGTTTATGAACAATTTTACATTATCTGTGCATTCCATCACTCATCAACAACTTTGGGGACTTTTTTCTATATAATTCCCACAAAATTATTAATTTTCGGACTAAAAATGAAATAAAATAAAACATTAGTTCCACAAACCGACTTATTATTTGTGCCCAGGCGTGAACACTTATAATAAATACGTTTCGATTTTAAATATTTTTTAAATATTCTGTGTTGTGATGTTTTCATTTCACTCACTCGGTTACGCGGTAGTTAGTATCACTGACATTTGAGCCGAGGTCGTGGTTTGCATTCTGACTTGGAGCAAGGAATTGTTTGGGAACAAGCTATTTGTTCTTTGCATGGATATATAGCTTTAGTATTGTTACGCCAGTAAAAGTAACGCCATCTATCGCCGAATAGCCAAAACTAATATCAAAGGAACTAGTAACGCCGAGAACGCTCGAGAAGTACAACGCCATCTGTAGTCTGATAGCGGAAACACACGTCGAATATACTCGACTTGCCCAGAATGTTCTCGATAAATCTAGGGATGTCGTATCGACTATAAAAGCGTTGCAGAGATAGCACGCGGTCAGTTAGTAATCAAAACTATTCGAAGCGAAACAGTGAACGGATCATCTGAAGTGAAGCGGAAGAAGCGGATTGAGAATTTTAAAGTGCTATTTATACTTCGGTAGAATTTTTATTTATCCCGAATCTCAGCGCGTAACAGTATACCAATCCTAATTTCCCATAGACGTTATTGTGTGATTTTATCCCGATTCTTTACATACATACTTTATATTTATGTTGAAAAATAACTTTTTTTAAGTTTCTATTCAGTTGTTCTGAGTGGTGAAAGCCTACGCGATGATTTAATTAATATTAAAGATCTATTTATTTCAAGTAGTACGACATAACTTTAAGTAGCACTGGACCACATTTGTTTAGAAATCGACCAAATATACTGGATCTTTCCCCCAGACTGGCAGCATATCCAGCCACGGGGGACCGCTCGACGCTGCTCAAGGCACACGCCGCGAAGTCAGCGGAGTGCAGTGGTCAGAGCTCACCGCGACCACGCCGGGCGCCTAGGGAATCTCGTCGCGTTTCCCTCGCCCAAGCCTCTGGATACGTCCAGCTCAACCAATACAGACTCCTTGAACCTATCGGACAGGTAACTTGACAGGACTTACTGGTGATAGGACCTCTTGTGATTCGACACGGGTAGGTACCCCCACCCCGCCTATGAAGCAGTAATGCGTTTCGGTTTGAAAGGCGAAGCAGCCGTTGTAACTATAATGAGACCTTAGAACTCATATCTCAAGGTGGGTGGCGGTATTTATGTTGTAGATGTCTATGGGCTCTGGTAACCACTTAACATCAGATGGGCCGTAGCTCGTCCACCCATCTAAGGAATTAAAAAAAGGTATCAATTAAGTACACGTGTAAAACACCGCGAAGATATTTTTAGCACGCTTTTGCTGTAGAGCCAATAATAACGTTGTATAAAAATATATTTACGCGTTATTTTTACTGTTGCAAATGGAACGCGCCGGCGATCTCAAAGCCCGTCTGGTCTACGCGTGTAAAGAGTTAAACTGGTTCTCGTAGATATCACAAATTGAATGCCGCCACAGATCATGATATGAAGACCCAAGTTTCAAATTTAATTAATATAGTTAGCTTCCGCCTCATTGCTCCGACGTGCTAGACCACATTACGCAATAGAAATAGCAGGATGCCGGTACCTACCCTTATGGTTTTTTTCCCTACCTATGCTGATAGCCTTGAGAGGCTATTTCAGCTTCGCCCTAACGTGTAGGTGAGCTCTCGGGGCTCAAACCGGAGTGCTACTAACACTAGCCCTAGCAAGAGCAGTGCTTCGCAGAATCTACCACCGGATCGGAAACGCGACTCACTGAAAAGATCCGGCGAGAAACTCAGTGGGCTGTGTCTATGGGACCTTTATGGGCTTACAATGCGGTCCACATGTAACACGAACTATTTATCAGGCTGTCATCCGTGACCACGGACCGGACAAACTCACGGCACGCCTGGTGCTCAGTGTCTACCAGTGCTCATAGATACATGACAACGTAAATGCCATGCACCTTGAGGGAATAGTTTAACAGCTGCACACATCTGCTTCGTAGCAAAAATAAACAGAATGATGGTAGTCACCCGTGCGAGCTTATACTACGACCTATTACCGGTGATAAGTTCTCTGTATTTTACGTATGGTGGTGCTACGTTTACTGGCGGTAGGACCTCTTGTGAGTCCGCGCGGGTAGATACCACCACCCTGCCTACTTCTGCCTTGAAGCATTAATGCGTTTCGGTTTGAAGGGTGGGGCAGCCGATGTAACTATACTTGAGACCTTAGAACTTATATCTCAAGGTGGGTGGCGCATTTACGTCGTAGATGTCTATGGGCTCCAGTAACCACTTAACACCAGGTAAGCTGTGAGCTCGTCCACCCATCAAAGCCATAAAAAAAAGTATAGTACATTTGAATATTTTTTTATCTTTATTTAAGGAGATTATTCACCTAGTGAATATGCCACTCCATTGTGCAACAAAAGATAGTAACAAAATAATTATATAAAAAAATAAAGGAAGCTGTTATCGTTTCTGAAGGCCCACCAAAACTATTTTATAAAGTGACTTAGCCATTTCGGATTCCGGAAAGGCTAATACATAATTTACACCTCCAACTTGTCGAGAATCTGTATATTTGGCAAAGAATTGTTGTCTCAAATCATCATAATGTGAAAAGAATCTTCCACTACATCACAAACTGAGCACTTGGGATCAGGAGCCTTCCCCATTAAATGAGTGGAATGTGCCCGGAACGAAGTCTGAAAACAATCACTAGGGTAGCTCTATTAAGGTTACAAGAATCAAACGGCGTTTTCCATGGTAGACTTTGAATTGTTTTGTACCACACGCCTTTTTCCAAAGACCTTTCATCGAAACATACCTTCCATAGACGATAACTTGTCTCTCTTACTAAGTTGACACAATCGGTATAATTAGGAACTATGTTCAATGGTACCATTTGAATTTTATCAACACTGATAAAATAGTTGTACGTGCAGTGGTACGACTTACATGTTAAGAGGTAGTGTCAGCAGCGTCATTTAGTCTGAGAGTTTTAGTAACATTGCAGTGTTTTAACGGTAGGCAGCGGCTTGGCTCTGCCCCTGGCATTGCTGAAGTCCATGAGCGACGGTAACCACTCACCATCAGGTGGGCCGTATGCTCGTCTGCATACAAGGGCAATAAAAAAAAAAAGTAAATAGAAGATATAAATCAAGATCGAACTTCGGTTTTAATTCACAGGGCTCGTATGGGATCGTCAAGTTAGCTTACAATGAAGAAGACGACACACATTACGTGAGTATTCATTCAACTGAAGCACGGTTAAAAACAATGTTGAGTTTGTTTCTTTTTCAAGATCGCATTTTCCGTCACTCAACATTGAAAAACCTTAGATAGTAAACCTGAGTAGATCTGAAGAAACTAAAAAAATTAAAAAAGAACATAATCCAAACTGAAAAGTCAAGACGTAAAATTTGGGTTATACTTTTAAACAAATACGCATAAAAAAACCAGTTACATTTTACATTCAACCATTGAATTTGGAAACCTAAAATGCTTCAATCCAATGGTGTCTGTAGTTCTAATGTATAATGAAATTCTGGTGTTATTTTAAGCTCAAACATGACTTGCACTCCCACGTATCAGCCACGTGTCTTCCCGCCTACGTCAGTCAGGTCATTAGCTAGACTAATTTTTGAATCGTTAGATTTTTATTGCATAGATGGTGGACGAGCTCACAGCCTGGAGAGCCAGCAGAGCTAGTGTTAAAGGGTCACCGGAGCCCATGGACATCTACAACGTTAATTCCGCCACCCAACCTGAGATATGAATGCTGAGATCAGCTATAATTACAACAGCTGCCCCACCCTTCCAACCGAAATGCGTTACTGCTTCACGGCAGAAATAGGCAGGGTCGTGTTACCTACCCGTGCGGACTCACAGCATATCTTACCATCAGTAGATATTGCACTCTTGCAGTAAAAACTGAAAAAAGGGTTCAAACTAGGGTAATATTTTTCTATATAATTTCTATCTTGTTTTTAGATTATTATCGTGACACAAAGAGGTTTGATGTCTCTCCACCAATCATATAAAGTGTGTTATATCCGCAGGCTATGAAGATCTTGTCTAAAAGGAAACTCATGCGAAGAGCCGGCTTGTTTGGCAGAACTCCCCCGAGAAGACCAGGACCTGGTCCTCCGCCTGACCCTCTACAGAGGGTCTATAGAGAAATCGCAGTGCTCAAGAAACTAGATCATGCTAATGTTGTGAAATTAGTTGAGGTAGGTAATTTTTATCTTGACACAACAATCGCTCATGATGATAACAATGTTATAATGTTGTCAACTGTGATCACACCTGAGCACAACTCACGTTATACACAAAGGTTTTCATGGAAACATGATATACATCGCTAGGTCCTAAGTCCCTGCTCTTACTATATGTTACACTCAGTGCACGCACTCTACTTTCATTAAAGACATCCACAATAGCAGTATCCTTCATTTTACTGGTGAAGCGATCAATTATAAGCTCAGCAAAGTATCAACACACGACCTACTTCTGACGCACTGGACACTGAACGTGTGATTTTTTTATTTTTTACTTTTTTATATCTTAGATGGGTGGACGAGCTCACAGTCCACCTGGTGTTAAGTGGTTACTGGAGCCCATAGACATCTACGACGTAAATGCGCCGCCCATCGTGAGATATAAGTTCTACGGTATCAAGTATAGTTACAACGGCTGCCCTAGGTGTGGCTGGATGGTGACAGTATTTAGTACGGCTACATTAAATACTCCTAAGGCTTGCACATCACGACTTAAGATTACCATTGCGACCTGTATAGGCTCCGGTAACCGTTTAAACAAGGGCGGATCCAGCTTTGGCGCCAGGAGGGGGTCACATAGTAAAATTTTCGATGCGCTCGTTCCCAAACGCTTGCCATCATACAAAGTTATTATATTATATTAAATTAATTAAATATTGAAGGTATGTAGTTACATAAAATCTGTATAGTGACAAAAAATATAAATAAAATCATTATGTTCAATTAGTGGTTCACCTAAGTCCTGGAACCAGCTCAGGGGGGGTCATGACCCCATGACCCCCCCCCTGGATCCGCCGTTGCGTTTAAAGCAAAGAGGAGTGGCTGTACATTAGATGTAATTAGTAAACTTTACAATTATCAATATGTTATCCTTCAAACGAGGCTTGTGGAGATTACTTAATGATAGGCAGCGGCTTGGCTCGACCCCTGGCATTGCTGAAGACCATGGGCAACGGTAACTACTCACTATCAGGTGGGCCGTGTGCTCGTCTGTCTACAAGGACAATAAAAAAAACCTATATGTGACCATTGCGTTCATCCACAGTGCGTTTCCAGAGAACTATTTTGCCCCGTACCATCCGGCTTGGGAATGAACTTCCCTCCACAGTGCTTACTAAGCAACATGACACGTCATTCTTCAAAAGATGTTTCAGAGCTGTCGTCTGAGCCATAAGTGACCGTGACTAACCACCATCAGGTTGGCCGTATGCTCGTCTGTCTAGAAAAGCTATAAAAAAAACTATAAGATTTATAATGATCTACTATCCTAGTATTTCAAGCAATCGCTTATTTTTCCTAAGGTATTAGACGACCCTGCCGAAGACCAACTCTACCTGGTCTTCCAACTCCTGGAAGGCGGTCCAGTGATAGACATCCCGACAGACAATCCTTTGAAAGAAGACCTGGCCAGGAAGTACTTCAGGGACACTTTACTGGGTGTGGAATATCGTAAGTTACTATAAAGATCGATCTATAAACTAAATTACTTTAGAAGTAACCAAACACTTTCATGTACCGATATGTCTGGTGCTGCAGTTTGAGAAACAGCACAGCTTTTCATCAAAGTTAGTGAGATGACCTATTAAGAAAATATTTGAGAAAAAACAAAAAATAAAAAGCCTGCTGAGTTTGTTTCGCCGGTTCTTCTCAGGACTTCACAGACTTTTTTTGGAATTGCTGGTAAAGTTAACATTGTTATTTATATTTTGACATTCAACAAGTGTGTTAATCTGACATCTAAGTTGAAATAAATGATTTTGAATTTTGAATTATAAACATGTCTAAAACTGACAGTATATTCTTTGTGAGATCTATGTGTTCCCATAGCAAATTAAACAGATAAATAATTATGTTATCGCTCCTTCTGCGTTGAAAAAAAAAAACCCCTCCATACTGAACTCAAACAAATTTCTTGCGACCTCCAGAGAAGATAATGAATCGTGAACAGTTTGGAGTGTCCAATCCACGATCTCCGAAGACTCAGCACGTACCCAACACTTTCACAATAATATTCAAATGAACCCGATAAATACATACATACATACATTTCTCAATATTTAAAATTCATCGCACAAATTCACGAATCCAATAAACTACTCCGCAGTGTAGTCGCGCCGAGAGGAATACTTCGAAGGCTGAATATAAGTTTAATAGTATAGAATATAAGTATAGGGCAAATATAAGTAGTGTAGAATAGAACTCATATCTCAAGGTGGGTGGCTGCATTTACGTTGTAGATGTCTATGGGTTCCGGTGACCACTTAACACCAGGTGGGCCATGAGCTTGTCCACCCATATAAACAATAAAAAAGTATACTACTTATATTTGTTTGAACTGTTCGTGCACTAGTAGGAACAGTCGGCACAATAGGACCAGTAGGAACAATAGGAATAGTAGGAGCAGTAGGAACAGTAGGAACAATAGGAGCAGTAGGTAAAGTAGAACCAGTAGGAACACTAGGAATAGTAGGTACAGTAGAAGCTGTAGGTACAGTAAGAACAGTAGGAACACTAGGAATAGTAGGTACAGTAGAAGCTGTAGGTACAGTAGGAACAGTAGGAACACTAGGTAAAGTAAGAACAGTAGGTAAAGTAGGACCAGTAAAACCAGTAGGAACAGTAGGACCAGTAAAACCAGTAGGAACAGTAGGACCAGTAGGAGCGGGTGATCTAAGCGTACATACATACTTAATACATTTTGCGTCTGAGATTACATTTTCCGATAAGAACGAATCATTAATAGAACTTATCGACGAAAGCTAAATCGAAATATTATATTCAAATATTCAAAAAGTGATTTCTATTCCCAACACAAAGAGAAGGAGCATTGTAATGTATAATGACAAGTTCAACCGAATGTTATAGGCTGTTTTGTAAACATTCGACAGGGTTAAACAACGATAGTTAATTATAATTTATTAAATTTATTATTTTACAACAAAACTCTTAACTTGCTTTATCCAAACGCTTTGCCGTTGAAAAAACATGCATGTTGCCGTTATGACAAACAAAAACGGCCGTCTGGTGTAGTGGTAAGTGACATGGTCACTACACAAGGGGGTCGCGGGTTTGAATCCCGCCAAGGGGAGATATTTGTATGATAAATATAAATGTCTTTTCCAGGGTTATGGATGTGTATTAAATATATGTATGTGTATAATAAAAATCTTACATTTATTTCCGTTATCTGGTACCTGTAACACAAGTTCTTTACGAACTTATCACGGGACCAGTTAACGTGGCGTGATTGTTAGTAAATATTTATATTTATTTATATAAAAAAAAAAAATTATTTGCAAATGAATCGGCTTATCAATCGGTGAGTGCCATACAATTATCTAGAAGTATAAAACTTCGAGCTCAAGCCTCAACGCGATCTGCACGTATGCTACATACAGGACATAACCACGAATAATATTTCGTCGCGTGCATTTGATAAATAAATCCAGCCTAAGCCAAGCCCTGGATAAGGTGATCAATATTAAATGAAGTTTGGCCCCGTTCGCGTGTTCTCCGGTTTGTGTGGATTATTTTATTTATTCAAAGGATTCCCGGCGAAGGCAGATTGTTAATTTACGTGCCGAAATCTTGTCTGGTATTTTAGGTTTGGGATCGTGAATAAATAAATTTCGGTTAAGTCCGCTAAGTTCCATATTTGTGGATGTTTATTGCGTCGGTGAAGGATAGCTATTAGTTCAGCATTAAACTAGAGACGGTCGAAGCCCCAACTGTCATGTGACGGAAATACTGTAACAGGTGTCCCACTGTTCAAAACCGGAACGCGAATTGCTTTGCGACAAAGACGTGCCAACGATAGAACCACTCTGTGCGGACTCAGGTCACGACCCACAAAATAAGCTAGAGGGGAGGAGTTAGGAAAGTAATGTGAAGATATTATCAGATCACTACAACATGCATCAATGGTCCTTCAATGCCGCGGTCACAGACCTGTATATTCTGAACAATGGCCAGACAGACCGTCAGTTTTAACCGGGAAAAGCCGCCACACCACCGACAATCGTTCCATAACACTCTCCGCTTACAAACACAGGTTAACAGAGAACCAGTCGTGATGATGTACTTAACTTTACATTTACTGATTGTTAGGAAACCGTTTCCCACCTTGGACACTGACGCTCCGTAGGTGAGGTAACCCGGTATTACAATATCGGGATTCAAAGCAATCTTTTTTTTATTGCTTAGATGGGTTGGCGAGCTCACAGCCCACCTGGTGTTAAGTGCTAACTGGAGCCCATAGACATCTACAACGTTAATGCGCTACCCACCTTGAAATATAAGTTCTAAAGTCTCAAGTATAGTTACAACGGCTGCCCAACCCTTCAATCCGAAACGCATGACTGCTTCACGGCAGAAATAGGCAGTGCGGTGGTACCTACCCGTGCGGACTCGCAAGAGGTCCTGCCGCCAGTAAAGAATCTTACCAATTATCATCATACTCCATTTGAGCTGATTAAAAACCATGGAGTGTTAATTTGAATAGTGTTTTTGTGAATTCGGACAGTGCACTTCCAAAGGATAGCCCACCGCGACATCAAGCCGGCGAACCTGCTGCTGCGCGAGGGTGGCGTCCAGGTCGCGGATCTGGGCGCGTGCGGCGAGCTGGCGGGCGCCGGCCGCGTGTCGGGCGCCGTCGGCACGCCCGCCTTCCGCGCGCCGGAGACCTTCGCCGGACCAGAAAACTACGACGGACAGGTATACTCACGACGGCAGAGCCTGCTTATCAATACTCACTATCTTTTTTTTTTCCTACCTGTGCTGAGCTGGAGAGGCTATAGCTTCGCCCTAACATGTAGGTGAGCTCACGGGGCTCAAACCAGAGTGGTGCTAACACTGGCCCTAGCAAGAACAGTGCTTCGCAGAATCTACCACCGGATCGGAAACGCGACCCACTGAGAAGACCCGGCGAGAAATCCGGACTGTGTCTATGGGTTAATTCGCTCGTCGAGCCATTCGTCGCAAGCGATGGGTTCGACGAGGAAGGTGACCGATGCTTGTGGTATCTAAAAGCACCGTTAATGGATCAGGAAGATCCGTAATGACGTGTTTTGGGCACCCTATCCACTACACATAAAATAAGCAAAAATAACACAGACACTATAATTAATTATAATGCCGGTAATCATTTGAGAAAATAAAAAATAAAATCATAATCAAAAACAAATATGTCAATTGTTTTGCACAAATGAATATCGTTTCAAGGGGAGCACCACACGTCCTACAGTGACAAGTGTGACTGGATGTCTTCACAGGAGCCTTCAGGGAGCAAGTCCTTCCCTGACTGCGGTAGTTACTTTTAAAGTTAAGTTTGTAACCGTGTTCCCGGACGACTGATTAATAATGTGTAACTACTGCTCACGCAAACCGAGGCGTCGGGTGCGTCCGTTGGTTATAAAACACTAATACATCGTTTGGCCAGCAGATTCTATCGAGAAACTTGTTGTTCAAGGTAGGGTCAATGGTAAGAGATCTCGTGGACGAATCCCCATGCGTTGGACTGATCAGGTGAAAGACCTTACTGAAACCCCACTTAACGAGTGTGTGCGCTGGGCTTCGGTTCGCAAATTATGGAAAGCATCTGTCAAGGCTTTAATAAGCAAAAATTCCACATGACCACGACAGCTCTGCCTAGAGCAACCGATTATGATGATGACATAGTTTGGCAAAACTCTGAGGAATCTGTCGATCTTCTGGATCCGTCCAAGCGTAGATTCAAACGTCAAACAATACGTCGCTGAGTTCACTTGAAGCGGCTAATTTAGTTTTGATTAAATTTATGTAATGTTTTCGGCGTATCCGTACAAGTAACTGAGTTTTAAACGAAAACCAATCTTATTTGGCAACTTTTAGGTTTGATTTTTTATAACTGCTCAAGTAAACATCGAATGAAATGCTAGGATAAGTCTGACATTGGCGCGGACCGTCGCGGTATAGGCGTGCGCGTAACAGGATATAATGATAGGGAGTATTTGACAATGAATAAACAATAAAAGACTTAATTGCGTTTTCTTGTATATAATAAGAAAACAACATTTGAAAATCATTAATCCCTATTTAAATTAATATTTTAAACAAACTGAACTTTATTTTTTACTGAATGAGAGACTTTACTGAATTACATGAAGAAAAATCCTTTTTTAAAACTATAGAGTTTGAAATAATAAAGGTTTTTCTTTACATGAAGCTTACAGAATTGGAGACCCGGGATATTTTAGTAGGATCTACTCCTGCATACCACTCCATTCTCGCGGATCCTTCCGATTCACTCTCGGTGATGTTGGTTGCTACCAGTGATGACACTGGCAGCAACCAATGGACACCTGACCGTACTTATTGAACTCGCCGAAGAGTCGTTGCGATGTTAAGCTAATAGCATCAGCCGGTTATTCCCAGTGAGCTTTCTCAGCGGTTCGCGTTTCCAATCCGGTCATAAATACATTCACGAAGCAGCTGCTCTTGACCTCTAAGGTTTCCTTCAAAGGCACTTGGAGAGTTGTTAGAAAACCCTCCCTTCCCGGCTAAATTATGGAGTGTGCCCAAACACACGCTCACACGTCCAAAAAAATTATACCATCAGCAAGTTTGCAATATATGCTCTTTCCTTGTTAGAAAATAGTTATTGATTCCTGGCTAAGTCTGTTTCAGCTGACAAGCTGATGGTCTATCTGATATTAAGAAGACCAAGTCATCGCCGATCCACCTTGAGACATGAGTCTCAGTTGTATTGGGTATGGCGACTGCCTTACCCTTCAAATTGGAAATCATGACCAGAAATCTGCAGTATTGTAGTACCTACCCCCACACGCTAACTATATCATGTACGAAATATTTATGTAATTACTGCTTATAGGATACTAGCGACCCGCCCTCGCTTCGCTTCGGAAACTGTAATTTATTATTGATTTCTCCACTATTTAATGGATGTTATTATACATATAAACCTTCCTCTTCAATCACTCTATCTATTAAAAAAAAACAGCATCAAAATCCGTTGCGTAGTTTTAAAGATTTAACCATACATAGGGTTATAAGGACAGAGAAAGCGACTTTGTTTTATACTATGTAGTGAAGTAAAATAAGCCTGTTGTAGATGGTCTCAATCCGGGTACACACAGCTTGGCCACATGGCTGCGTGCGGCCTCACGGGCGCGGTGCGACAGACATTATTGATTCGTCAATCAATTATCTCTCGGACGTAGTTTTATTTCAACGAATCCATTTATCTCAGTCCGCCGCTAATGACATATGCCTTATTCATGACCGATTAGATATAAAATTCGTTTTTAATTACAAACTCGAACTAAATCTTGATAATTCTTATTTAAAAATGGATGTGTTCACAGCCCACCTAATGTTAAGTGGTTAATAGACAATCCATGAAGCTTAAATAGCCTGTCCCATCCTTCAAACTAGTACGTATGAATGTTTCACGGCAGAAATAGGCAGCATAGGGCAATAACTATCATCCTTTTCATGTGAAACACATCACCATATCACAAGTAAAGCATACCTATTCATATTACATATCTTCTCTATCTATATCTTTCACTGGTGGTAGAACCTCTTGTGAGCCCGCACAGGTAGGTACCTCCACCCCGCCTACTTCTGCCGTGAAACAGTAATGCATTTCGGTTTGAAGGGTGGGGCAGCCGTTGTAACTATACTGAAATCTTAGAACTTATATCTCAAAGTCGGTGGCGCTTTTACGTTCTAGATGTCTATTGGCTCCAGTTACCACTTAACACCAGGTGGGCTGTGAGCTCTTCCACCCATCTAAGCAATAAAAAAACTATTAAATTAACGCACACACACATACACACGCACAAACACGAATACACAACACACACACAGCAACGCACGCACACGCACACACAATTATTCCATCATGACATTGTCGCCTTGACGAAGTCAGTTGGCAGGGGTAACTTGATTCAGATGTTTAAAATTCATTGAATAGTTGATTGAATTTTTTGGTTGTCTTCAGGCAGCTGACATTTGGTCTCTCGGGGTGACGTTGTACGCGATGGTGACAGGCAGAGTTCCTTGGGTCGGAACTTCCGTCGTGGAGCTCCAGAGAAAAATCCTGAATGAGCCGCTGACATACCCTGCGAGATACCAGCCTTCGAAATCGCTGAGGCATCTTCTTAGTCGCATGCTAGATAAAGACCCAGCAAAAAGAGCCACTATGCCGGAAATTAAGGTATTTAAGTTCGGTGGGCATCTTGGCTCTGGCCTAGACATTACCAGGGTTTTTAACTGATAGTAACCAGTTGCATCAGGCGGTCCATGGATTTGTATGCCTCTGTTGGCTATAAGCGCTCTAGGAACATTAGGAAGGGGAACTCATTCTAGAACCACACGGCACTTTGCAAGAATGATCATTTGAAAATCGCTGGGAATTCACGCAGCGGGTCCAGTGAGAGGGTTTAATGGTAGGCAGCGGCTTGGCTCTGCCCCTGGCATTGTTGACGTCCTTGAGCGACGGTCACCACTTACCATCAGGTGGGCCGTATGCTCATCTGCCTACAAAGGCAATAAAAAAAATAGAGGGAAGAACTCTGCTCCGCTGCGCGATCAGGCTATACATACCCACTACATCTACCACATTTCTTCTAATTTGATCTAATAATTCCAATATCTATCATAGTTTTAAAAATCACACTAACAAAATAACATCAAATGGATTTTTTTGTATATTAACAGCAATAAAACATCCTGTTCATCAATAACCCCCAAATTTTTTATCAGGACGACGAATGGATCACAGCGGGAGGCAGGGACCTCTTGCCCTCGGAGCAGGAGAACTGCAGGCTGGTAGAGGTCACGGACGAGGATATGGCGAGAGTCGTCACCTCTATACCTAACCTCTCTACGCTCATACTCATCAAGACTATGCTTAAAAAGCACAGCTTTCAGGTAATTTTAGTCGTTAATTCAGCTTCCTACCATCCTGCCCCCTACCTCTACCGCCAGATGCTGAGCGGTAGGTACAGCAGCGGTTCAATCTTATTATGCCCAATTGTGCCCCCAACTTCGCGTGTCAGGGTCTGCAGACCAACTCCCTTTATTAGTGAGAGCAGTACTACATACATGCCACCGCTGACTGAGGTCCCTCTCTGTTATCTCACAGATCTCGTAATAAATTTTCTTCTTTTCTCTCTACCTCCAATTGACTGGCTCATCTCCAGTCGAACTCTCTTATTGTACTGAGATATGTTCATATTCATTATTGTTTGTCGCAATTATTATTTTATCTAACCATTTCGATATATGTATAATATTTTGATATTTGTTTAGTAATCTGAACTATTTTTTCTGGTTGCAGAACCCTTTCTTACGAAGTCGCGAAGGCAGCACTTCAAGAAGAGAATCCGGTAGCGGGAAAGGAGAGGGAGAGAAAACCGCGGCCGCCAAGAGAAGTGGTCTCGCCCGGACTGGTAGATCCCTCTCAGCGCCCGGCAACTATCTCACTGAGAGGTCAGGATGTCTTGCTTTTCATTAGCCGACGCTGACAGTCGGCAGCCTCAGATTCAATCATCATGTCACTCACCGTGAGAATTCAAAGCTATGACCACAAGAACTGAGGACCCAGCAGCCGCCTGCTCTTAAAAGGTTACTCGACCTCATAAGCCTCACGACGCGAATGTCGCCGTCTACTTGGAGTCATGAGGTCCAAGTTAGTTTTGCATCGTGACGCAACTGCTGCTACTGTGCCAATGTGCACCTGAATTACCATTTTCTGATTGATAATCGTAATTTTGACTTTTCCGCAGACAATCTTCATTTGACGTAGCCCTGGAGTCAGTCGCAGAACGAGATCAGAACCAAGAGAAGGAGAAGTCTCCAGTCAAGGTAAATTATATCCATCGCTCTCAAAATCTAAATAAGTCTTGAGTATGAAGAAAACTGCATGAAATTGACACATAAAAATAATTTCATCTCTCTCATAAAGCGGCAAACTAGTTCACAGTCCATCTCGGTCCAGTCGGTAGGCAGCGGCTTGGCTCTGCCTCTGGCATTGCTGAAGTCCATGGGCGACGGTAACCACTTACCATCAGTTGGGCCATATGCTCGTCTGCCTACAAGGGCAATAAATAAAAATGAACTTAAGCGGCTATTGAAGCCCTTAGACATGAGATTTCTGGTTATCGGTCCTCGGCATTACCTAGTTTATGTTCCTTCTCACCCTCGTCTGCGCCAACTGCCTACTTGGTTGGTTGGGACACCGTAAAGGCGGCTAGTAACATTACTCGGTGAAATCGCTCAATAACACGTTCTATTCGTATCCTCGAAGGGCGAAGGGGAGTCTCGGTGATGTCCTGGACCCCGCGGGGGTCACTCACCGTCCGCGGAGACCCGCCTCCACCCTGCCCCGGGGGTGCCGCTACTCCCAGCACTCCCCTGCTAGCGCCGCCCACTCCCCCACAGAGAGGACACACAGAGTGCATCCAAGTGCGGACGCGCCGGCCTCACCACACGGAGGAGGATTGTCAGCAACGTCACCACGTGTGTGACATCAGAAAGCAACTTAACTAAAGTGTAACCGTCACGGATGACTGAAGATCCTATAACCATTTCAAAGTTTAACAGCTTTGTTTGTTCATCTTGTGAAAACCTTAGATGAGATACCGAGAATAAATAATAGTTTAAAAAAAAACTAACAAAATACGCTTTTTTTACAATAAAATCATTTTTTCTTATATTATTTTTAATTCAAATTTATTAAAATTTATTTTCTATTCTTTTGTTGGATTTTCTATAAAAGCGTATTTTGTTAGTTTTTTTAAACTATTATTTATTTTTCATTTTTTAGTTGAATTTCAATTTTTTCAATTTTTTTTTAAATATTGAATTGTCATCAGTCCTTAATAAGTATACCAAATTTCGAGTTAATCCGACGTTTTGAAGGGGGTCAAAATAATGTTCAAAGATTCCGTTACATACATACGTCTGAAGCTAATAAAAGCGTATTTAAAAAAAATGATTAAAATGTTATCTACCATTTTGAAATAATAATAATTTTTGGGAGCTTTAACGAAAAAGGGAAGATCTTCCGCCGAGCGGGGGTCGTTGCTCGGTAGACCGACGCTTGCGTGCGCTTATTCTGTATGCGTCCTTGGGCCAATCCAACTGGGATGAAAGAAAAGGTTTTGTTAAATACATATGATAGACAAACAAACCGATGTTTTCATACATTAGTCAGCTATGGTCAGTGTGCTTAGTGCGAGTTTTTTAAAGTTCTCGATATCGTAAAAGTTAACTCATATTTGTATGGAGTTGGAACGTTTGCGTACGTTTGCCGCTAGGGGCGCTGTTCCAACTGCATACAAATTTGAGTTAACTTTTACGCTATCGAGAACGTTAAGAAACTCGCACTAAGCACACAGAGCGTAACGTGACCACAGCTTCACCACAGTTGGATTAACGGCCTAGGATCGCACAGAGGACAAACATACAAACATTCATTTGTATTTTAAATGATGTAAAAAATAAGCCGAGCGCTCGGGTCTCTGCTGCTGCTACATAATTCAGATAACAATTTACACTCAAACAATACTGTTATACAACAATTAAATTATTTAATACAGTATTTTATATTAAATAGAAGAAAATCTTACCATAAATTATAAATTAAATTATAATTATCTGAAGTATATGGGAGAGATTCGAATACAAAGGCGTCAGTCGTCGAAGGCGAACAAAACAGCGGTAGCCGGTCGTTCTGTCCACGAACACGTCCGGGCGCCACGCTAGCCACGCGACTGAAGTAGACCAAAATTTTTCTTTTGACCTTGACGAAGGCTCAGGAAATTTTCCTTAAAATCCTCCGTGTTGTGACGTGTCCGGTTATCAAGATGACGAATTAAAAAGAAATTTAATTAAGATTTAGGATCACATTATAAACTCTATTTCATGCGCTAAAATTAATTCACAATTTTAATTAACGTTAATATAAAAACACAGATTTCTAATTTTTCTGTTAATGTCTAGTGTTTGTAAATGAATTATACAAATGATTGCTCAATGCTTATTAAAGTAATGTAAATAGCTTAAGATTTTTATTAATAATGAAAAACTCAGTTAATTAGATTCATAATACGTGTACATATTTAAACTTTTTTATTGAATGTATTTAAAAAATACCTATTATCTTTTTAAAATACTTTGTATTGTATATAATGTTTGTGTCATAAGAATATGAAAATGTATACTTTGAAAACTCCGATTGATTATTGACTTATGGTACTTGTGTAAGCGGGAAGGCGTCGTAGCAATAAGAACTAAACTGACTTTAATGCGTTTTATTCGATTCGAGACGAGAAATATAATATTTGTATGCGCGTGCGAGCAGAGCTGCGTAGGTTCGATCTTGGAGTTGTTTCGTAGCGCACTGCGCTCTCGGCGGCCGACTGGGAGCAGGTTCCTCTGCGCGTTANAGACGAGAAATATAATATTTGTATGCGCGTGCGAGCAGAGCTGCGTAGGTTCGATCTTGGAGTTGTTTCGTAGCGCACTGCGCTCTCGGCGGCCGACTGGGAGCAGGTTCCTCTGCGCGTTACCCGCTCTCGTCCCCGCACACCGCTGTCGCCTGGACGGGTTTTGTGCTAGTGGTGGCCGCACACACGGCTAGTGATGTGCCGCCACAGACTTGTAACTAATATGGCGTTCGTGTGCGGAATTTGAAGAGATAACATTTATTTTTAATTAAAAGCAGAAATATAATAAAAAATAAATATTTATAAATACTTAAAAACGAAAAATATTATATTAAATATTGACAATTTCTAGTTTTGAAAAGAGTTTTCAAAGTGAACGGTTTTCCTATTGACAATCGGCTGGAAGCTGTCGGCGCGGTATGCGAATGACCAATTTTTCCCCTGTAATAAGCTTACGTTTGATAAAAGCTTAGGCAATTTTCAATTAAGGTCTGCCCAATAAGAGACGCCATGATTATTTTGAGTTATATTTTCTAGGCAATTAAATTTAATTGTTACATATATTTTATGAGTGTTGATAAGACACCCAACTTAACTCGATGAGCTCTATGAGACACTTTACGAGCCTAGTTGGAGACATCAACCTCAACGTGGACGTAGGCGTATACGTGGTAATGACCACGGACTATACATAATTTATATTTCTTCAAAATGTCTCGTTTTCTCAAGACAACCAGCTTTCTGTTGTTTTTCGTCGGCTATTATGAAAAAGAGATAAGATAATACCTTAGAAACTTGAATTTAGTTTTATTTTACTTAATTTTTTTTTCAGTTTATTTTATATATATGGGCAGACTTGAAACGCGTCATTCATATATTATGTAGGTAAATTTTTAAATCGCTAGGAACGGTATTTAGATTACACAGGGTCATAGAAGCGTGGCAAAGTCCCATTGGCAGTTTTAAAATAAAAATAGTCTTTTTAACTAATGATTATACATATTTCTTTCCATTCTTTGATTGTTCTTAATTTTACAAGTAATATCCAGGCTTAGATCACTACATCAAAAAAGAATGTGAGATCTAACAATCCGTGATACATCTGAAATGCTTTTAATCAAATTTAATACAAAATAATTGAAATTCAAGCAGTTCAAATATCATTTACAGTTGGGCATAGTAAAAAAAAATTCTAGGAATTCGAGAAAATCTGTAAGAAAAATCATGTTTCTTTTTGTACAAATCAATGATCTTTCATATCTTTGTCAATTGAAACTAAATAAATTTCTAGTTACGATATTCCATACATAATCTAATTATGTAGTGTTGTATAACATTTTCATGAGTTTTCTCTCCTTTTCCTTTTTTGTTTAATTAAGAAGTGTTCAGAATGTGATTCCCTGTCTGGGGCGCTGTTTACTCCAGTAGTTATTTGCAAGCGGAAGGTCCAAATGTTATTTGCCTTTAAATGTTGTGATAGCACGTTAGGAGAATGGATGCTTTTAAAGAAATATATTAATATAATTCGAAATTATATTTAAACTTTCAATTTTAATTAAAAAATAAACTACTTATAATTATTATTAATATTTAAGGAAAATATAAATCAAGTGACAAACGTATTTTTTACTTTTTTTTATTTAAATTCAAAGTTTTATTCAAATTACGTAATTATATACTTACATATAATTGAAACATGTTATACAAACCATGACAATTCCTAGGGTGGCATAAAATTATAGATTTTTTATTTATACACGCACATAATTTCAGTTATTGTAAATTTAAATTATGTTATCATTGAAAATAAATTCAATAAATTAATGATTCACTTTAAGCATTTGTTTTATTTCGATAAATAAATAAATATGCTCCTAAAACCTGAAAGTCGAAGTGTTTGTGAATTGATTCTGGTTGAACTCCTATTTACATGGTTATGGAAAATGGTATGTAATGAAAATAAAACAATATTCATTTAAAAATTTAGTTTAACTTCCATTAATGCCAAGATTTGGTCAATTATTATCTTTGAATGATGTTATCATCACAGCTGGTTGGACAGCATAACCATCGATATTTTCCACTTTGTCTCCAAACGAACTACTGGATTTGCCAAAAGCTCCAGCGTTGGCCAAAACACCCATGAATTTAGATTCTATACCATCTTCAATGCTGGCCGTATTTTCATTGGTTGTTGGTAATTTCTCGACAAGTGGTTTAGTTTCTACATTAGTAGCAATATTGTCTTTCGAAATTGAGTTCATCACCCCGCTTGCATCTGATGTATTTGCTGTTTTCTGGGTATCAAGTGTATCTTCAGATTGATATTTTAATGGCTTATTTATAGTATCTCCGATATGTACCTTCTCACTACTAGGACCCTTTCCATTAACCGTGATGTATTTTCTTAAATCATTTAGGTCCTTTTCTGATGCAATAGAAATAATGCGATAGAGCTCTGTACCATCATCTACTCGAAATGGTGTTTCTAAAGTATTAGACCGCACATTTGCTGGATTGTCTACGTTCTTCCTATCTAAAACAGAATTATTATTAACTATTCCATTAGCTCTATTTCTGATAGTAGGAACATTCTGTTTCACACTAGATTCTGTAGATATTTCATCAGAGCTCATTGGATTTTCCGTATTCCCTGCATCCCGATTCAATTGAATTGAATTCTTGCTATTTTCAGTCGGAGCGTTATTAGTTATTATTTTTATTACTTTAAAATCTTGATCAGTGATAGCTGGAAGATCTTTTAAAGCTGCAATTATGGATTTCATTACATCATCCTCTAGATCATTATCGCCTTCAGCACTGTTTTGTAAATTTTCCTCTGTGTTTAAATGNTCCGTATTCCCTGCATCCCGATTCAATTGAATTGAATTCTTGCTATTTTCAGTCGGAGCGTTATTAGTTATTATTTTTATTACTTTAAAATCTTGATCAGTGATAGCTGGAAGATCTTTTAAAGCTGCAATTATGGATTTCATTACATCATCCTCTAGATCATTATCGCCTTCAGCACTGTTTTGTAAATTTTCCTCTGTGTTTAAATGTTCACCTCCCTTTACATTTTTATCCGTGTTTAGAATTTCTCCTCTGTTTGGCTTATTATTAAAAGTTTGTCCTTTTTTTGGGTTGGTAGTACTCATATCAGAACTCGGGCGGTTCATGTATGGATTTGCTAAAACTAAAATTATTGGTTGAATATTCTGCTTTTCATAATTTGAAGGATTTTTATAGCTTTGATTTAAATCCAATTCTTCCTTCTTTCTATTCCCATTAGCATTTGTAAAAAAATTATCAACAGTAGGATTATTTTTATCGGATCGTATTGTATTATGTGTGCTTTGGTGATTACTATTCTGAGATCCAAAATTCATATTTGATGTATCATCATTATTTTTTGGGACATTAGAAAATTCATTAGGCTGTTTATGAGCATACCTAATGATGTAACTAGCGTCATTATTTAATGCGCTTGTTTGAGGTAATATTGTCGATTGTTCTAAGTTATTTGCAGCATTAAAATTATTTGGTTTCACTATATAATACAAGGGACCTTTGTTTGTTTGAGCGCGAGACATAATTATGGAGTCTCCGCTGCTTCCTGCCACTTGATACAATTGATTATCTTGTAAGCCGTCTGTCTGTACATAAATAATTTTGGGCACAGTATCCTGTGTTGAGGTTCCTGAGTTTTCGGAACGAGATTCTTTACTTTGATATAAATTCCCATTATCATTTGTAAACGCCACTTTGTCTTGACTAACAATAGACTCGTCCCTATCTATACCAGTGTAACCATAGGATTTATGACTATTTGTTAGGTTAGGTATTAAATTCTCAGTATGCTTATCCTGAGACTTTCGTTCATTAAGTGCCGTGTAATCTTGAGGGTCGCGATGTTCTGGTCTCTGACTTGGATTCTCGACGTTGCGAAGGTCATGAGGTACTTTATGGTTTCGTCTTTCTATGATTAGGTCTCCAAGATCTAAAACCCGATGATGATCATTATTAGTTACACTACTTTATTAAATAGTTGTGGTCAAGAATCAGACGCCCGGTGCGTTCGTATTAAGCGATGCAGCGGTGCTCGAATCCCGCCGACAGGGACCAATTTTTCTATCAAAATACGTACTTAACAAATGTTGATGATCGACTTGCACGAAGGAACAACATCATGCAATAAAAATCAAACCTTTAAAATTAGAATTTGCGTAATTACTGGTGGTGGGACGTCTTGTGAATCCGCAGGGGTAGGTTGCCAGCCTATTTGTGCCGTGAAGCAGTAATGCGTTTCGGTTTTTAGGGCGGGGCAGCCGCTGTGCTGTTAAAAGTGAGACCTTAGAACTCATGTCTGAAGGTGGATGGTGCCATTTACGTTTTAGATGTCTATGGGCTCCGGTAACCACTTAACACCAGGTGGGCCATGAGCTCGTCCACCCATCTAAGCAATAAAAAAAACTATGTATTTGCAGACCTGGAATGTTGTAGCTTCCACCAGGAAAATCTTCATCATAATAATCATAGCCGGTTCCGTAGCCATGTAACAGTTTTTGAAGATAGTTAACTGGATCCAAGTTTGTAAACGATGTTTCTGGAGTTCTCACTGCATTGCTGACACGGTAGAAATGACAACTCACGTTCAGAGAGAATAAACAGGCCAAGATTAACTGGAAAAAAAAACTATAATAGTTAAATTTATCAAAATAAATTACGTCCTCATTAAGCTAGATAGAGATTCTAACTTCATTTTTACTAGCACAGACTCTCAGTTGTGGTGTTTACATGGGGCGCTAACCCAAAACCACCCAAAAATCCGTTAGCTTGTCTACAGCAATCAAATAAACACTAGATCGCCTGCCCGAGCGAGGACTATCGCTGATACATGGATTATATTAAGTTTTAATTTTAAATAGATCGATACATACTCCATAGATACTCCTTTAAGAACTTACTATTGAGAATGAGAATGTTCTCGAACTGTGGTAGGACCTCTTGTGGGTCCGCGCGGGTAGGTACCACCACCCTGCCTATTTCTGTCGTGAAGCAGCAATGCCTTTCGGTTTGAAGGGTAGGGCAGCCGTTGTAACTATACTTGATACCGTAGAACTTATATCTCAAGGTGGGCGGCGCATTTACTTCGTAGATGTCTATGGGCTCCAGTAACCACTTAACACCAGGTGGGCTGTGAGCTCGTTCACCCATCTAAGCAATAAAAAAACGTACGGGAATGTTGCTAAAGGCAAATAAATTTACCATCGACACTTGATTTCAGCATAATACTGTAATCTCTCTCCACGCTGCAGAATACAAAACTGCGTGGAGTGTGGTCTGTGATAAGTTTATAAATAGAGGTACTTTCTAGTATTGAGTAGACTTTTTTTTCAGGCCGGGGGCCAAACCTCCTACGAGGTCCCCGTGCCTAGGGGGCGCGCGGGGTATGTGGGACTTGACGAGCTGCCGATTTTGAGTAGACCGCGGGCTTAAGAATATTTTAGAACCCTACTGCACTAAACGACTCCCCTGCACTCTTACACCTGACGTCCGATCTCCGCACGGGTTCAGAACCCGGTCAGAGTAGGGAGCTCCCGCAGTCAACACTACAACCAGACACGCAGGGCCACCCCGAGGACAACCAACCGACGAGTCGTTGAGGCGATCGTCAACGACCAACGACGCCGGTCTTCGCGGTAAAGTATTGAGTAGACCTAATCCAACGCATGAAGGAGATACCAAAATAAAATCCAACTAAGCAGATTTTCATTGGCTTTAAATAAATTAATAAAACTCATTACTGGTGGTAGGACCTCTTGTGAGTCCGCGCGGGCGGGTACCACCGCCCTGCCTATTTCTGCTGTGAAGCAGTAATGCGTTTCGGTTTGGAGGGTGGGGCGGGCAGCCATTGTAACTATACTGAGACCACAGAACTTATATCTCAAGATGGGTGGCGCGTTTACGTTGTAGATGTCTATGGGCTCCAGTAACCACTTAACACCAGGTGGGCTGTGAGCTCGTCCACACATCTAAGCAATAAAAAATAAAAAAAACTCACCTGTACTATCCACGCCATGTTTCACAGCGAAATGATGAACAAACGACAAACCTGACCCTTTAAATTACTGACTTCAAAAATTCAAACTGGCTCTTAATTACTGAATAATGACAATAGTTACACTAATGTTTAATTAATATGACCAATGACCATTAAAACTTCCACTGAATCATTAACATGCCATAATTTCTACCTTTATGATGAGCAGGCGTGCTCACGACTTACCTGGCATTGAGTGGCCCCCGGAGTCCACCACAACGTGACAATCNTTAAATTACTGACTTCAAAAATTCAAACTGGCTCTTAATTACTGAATAATGACAATAGTTACACTAATGTTTAATTAATATGACCAATGACCATTAAAACTTCCACTGAATCATTAACATGCCATAATTTCTACCTTTATGATGAGCAGGCGTGCTCACGACTTACCTGGCATTGAGTGGCCCCCGGAGTCCACCACAACGTGACAATCGACTCACACGTTCCAGCTTAGAGCCACAATTCTATTTTTAGATAAATAACAAATGCCTTAGCCTTAAAAATTAAAATCGGTGCAAGGTTGGCTCACAGTATCCAACTGAGGACTCACAATACGACCCACCACCAGTTTATCTTTCGGCGCCTTCGATCCGATTACTAACTTCCTTCGTGTCATCTTTGCAACGCTTTTATAGTCGATACGACATCCCTAGAAGTATTGCAAACGTTCCTGACAGGTCGAGTAGTTTCTATGTGCTTCCGCTATTTGATAATAGATAGCGTTGTACTTCTCGAGCGTTTTCGATTTTACTAGTTCATTTGAGATTCGTTTCTGCTATTCGACGATAGATGGCGCTGTTCTTATCATAAAACGAAGTTCCTTAAATAAGAAACTTCACTCCATCGACCGATGCTAGAGCTGCAAGGGCCCCTATTCGGAACGTGAATGCAATATTGTCTACTGATATGAGTCTGCTGAGTTATCGAGGAGTACAGGCAAAGACTCCGGTATCGAGCGATGAAACTGTGCCGAAATGAAATACGTTTTCTTATTAATTTTTTATTGCCCTAGTAGGTAGACGAGCGTACGGCCCACCTGAGGTTGAGTGGTTACCGTCGTCCATGGAATTCAGCAATGCCAGGGGCAGGGCCAAGCCGCTGCCTACAAAATTATTATATTACTAGATAGATTATATCGCTACTCAATGGCATGCTAGCCTATGCTCCGGAAATGGATATATTCCATGATGGTTTGCAGCGATTTATTGTTGTTGTTAGGAATTACCTAAGCTAATTATTAATACCTTACAAATGTTTTGGTTTATACTGTTAATTTGTAAGTAGACTAAATAAGGACTAAATAAGTAAGACAGGGCGGTGGTACTCACCCGCGCGGACTCACAAGAGGTCCTACCACCAGTAATTACGCAAATTATAATTTTTGCGAGTTTCATTTTTTTTTATTATACGATGTTATTCCTTCACCGTGGAAGTCAATCGTGAACATTTCTTAAGTACGTATTTTATTAGAAAAAATAGTACCCGCCTGAGGGATTCGAACACCGTTGCATCGCTAGATACGAATGCACCGGACGTCTTATCCTTTAGGCCACGACGACTTTTGTTAGCAAACGGAAACGAATGACAGTTCTTAGGACGGAGGCACCGCTCTTCAAGAAGGCTGGTTGGTAAGTGTGATGGCGTCTACACGCCTCAATTGGCTAGGCTCTGTCGTAGCACAAAGTTAGCCGAGTTCCGACGATACCGCAATCGTGCTGCCATCTCCCGGGAATCGTCCTGGGTTTCGTTTAGCTACCAAATTAATGACCGTCTCCGACATATTTAAAAATGTATGAATTTTTTTTCTATGCCTCTTATGCATTCCCTGGTTGTATCCAGTTGAATAGATTTTTGGAAACTCTGATGTAGTAAAATCAGCGTATCAGGTAGCGGGAAACTCGATTGTGCTCTCTGGCTGTATCTTATTTCCGTGATTTACAATATATTTATAAAAAATATATTTTAGTGCCAAAATTAACACTAAAAACTAAAAAGTAAGAACATTATTAATATTTAACGTAAAATTAAAGTCCAACACTTTCTTCCAAATAATCACAACAAAAATTTTTTAACTGCATTTATTCAGTGAATTACATATTCAATGAATTACTAGTTCGACATGATCTACAGACCGGGCAGGCCTAAGACCTAAAGTATTTAGAGCTCCACTGACAGGTTTATCTCCGAAGATTCTCAAAGGATTATCCAGTATATCTAGCGGTTTGCTAGTCAATACGTGCAATGGGCTGGTCAAAATATTAGGAATGAGCCCCGAAGTCAATGGAGCAGAGTAAACAAAGGCTACGCCGATAATCACCAACAATATCTGAAACATAATGAATACAGAGTTATAAATGTAAAGAAATAATATACCAAACTATTTTATTTATGGTCATCTATGTATACAAGCGACTCTCATGATTTAAGGAATGACATCGCGTAATAAGATCAGACCCGTGAAATGCCTGTAGGTATACGACAAAGGAAAGATCTTCCACCAAGCGGGTGATATTGCTCGGTAGACCGACGGTCCTGGTGTTGTTGTTCGGAACTTGTATATATGCAAGCTTATCTTGAAAATGTCGTAAGCGAGATTCAGGCATCTGTCAATTATCTTGTGTTCTGTGATGGCTACCGCCACATGCCCAATTACGCGGTATTCGCTAGCATTAGTGCTCGTATTGTCTACATCATTCACGGCGCAAGGTAAACTCGCGTCAAAAGGAAAGATACTCCAGATTCGAAAAATATAGCTCCGCTTTGTACCAAACTTTTGTCTTCAAACTAAATATTTAACTGCGCAGTTACAACGCAAAGAACATCGGTAGTACTTAAAGGGGATTGCCCACTCTCCATAGTGTGCTAGGCCCAAGATGGACATCAAATATTACTATAAAAATGTACTGATTCAAATTCTTAAATGTATTGGATATCTAAAAAATATATTGAAATTGACGCCACTATTATAAAAAATATAATAAAAATAAAAACTCGTTTTGAGGTTCATTTTCTATATAAATAAGTGTCGGANAGTAGTTAAATTTACGAAAAACCTTTTCAGTGCCATGTTATTACCACCTGCCTTCGTTTCCGGACCCTTCGAATACAGGGTGCTTATATAGTTATATATTTTTTATACCAGAAACTAGTCAGCCGCACACATTCTTTAGCCTAAATAAATTAAATAAAGGTAACGCACCTGCTGTGTGAGCGCCATGATGTCCAAGGGACTAATTGACTCACTGGCTGTGTGTGTCAAAGTTAATATAACGAGTGGAAAACCACAGAAATGTATCTTAATTGCGAATGTCATTAACTATAAAACAGCAATTAGTGGATGCCATCTTCCAAATAAAATAAAAATTGTCAGGAGTTATTTAAAGTTAAATTATTCTGGATTCTGAATGTGAATGAATAAACGTTTCAAAATCGGACTCTACACCAACCAACCTACCAATCTAAACTCTGAGTACCGAAGCTACAGACATTACATGGATAGCATTTCAAATCATCAAGCATCAGCTTTAGTTCTTACCGCTAATGCTGCACTGATTTTGAATTGTATATTCATTCACATTCAAAATTCAATATAACTAGAGGTCCCGCAGTAGTCGAAATTCGACTATAATTAATTGGAATTGTAAGTTTGTACACTATTATGATTGTATTTTATACTTCTATAATCACAAATTTCGCCAAGGCTAAACTATAAAAAATATTAACAAAGACAAACAATATTTAATCTATTCTCAATTTGACAACAGACGTCAAGAACAAAAGTTTGACAATAAATAGTATGCATGCGTGTGTGCGTCAAATACATGGTAGGTATGTAGTGTGTGTAATGTTTTATTTATTGATTTAATGTATCTTTTATGCATTATTTTAAAAAAATATTAGCATTGTGCACCTCTTCTCTATATTCTCTATAAGTGTGGAAAATTTCATACTCCTCCGTCCGCGCAATTTTCGTAAAAAGGGATACAAAGTTTTTGCTTCACGTATTAATATATAGATTTTACTTAATTCATGACAGCTTTTTTTTATTTGATATAAGTCGTCCACTAATTACTGTAATGACATTAGCAATTAAGTTACTATTACATTTCTGTGGTAATCCACTTGTTATATTACCTTTGACACACACAGTCTGTGAATCAATCAGTCCCTTCGACATCATGGCGCTTACACAGCAGGTGCGTTACCTTTAGCTAATTGTCACAAATATAGGTGGTCCGGGTTGAATTCTCAAACAAAAAATGTTTGCGGCTGACTAATTAATTTCTGGTATAAAACATATAAGTTCTCTGTTTCTGTTTTTAAATACAAGGTCAAACAATTCTATCTCTCATCAACCGAATGATCATTGTTCTATACTCTTCGTATATACTGTGTTACTTATAATATTTTGTATTCAAGTTTAATAATATTTGCTATGTGTATGTGAATTACTATAATTCTCATGTTGTATTTGTTATTTTAGCTGTTCTACACACACTCATCACTTTTAATTATTATTCTCATAATCCTCTCGCAGGTCTGCTGGAAGAGATTTCTTAAAGAAATAAGCAGTGCCTTTGTACACAATTTTCCTATTACTCTGTACTATGTCTTATTTTTTTTGTGTACATAAATAAATGTAACTAAACACCCTGTATTCGAAGCGCTCCGGAAGCAAGAGGTAGTACATATTATATCACTGAAAACGTTTTTCTTAAATGTAATAGTTACAACGTTCTTTGCGTTGTAACTGCGCAGTTAAATATTTAGTTTGAAGACAAAAGTTTTAATAGAAAGCGGAGCTATATTTTTGTTCCTAGTGATTCTGTTCAGGGCAGTTAGTGCTCTTTGAAACCGATCAAATCTTCATGTTAATCGGATATTATAAGTAACGACCACGTTCAAGCAGACACGCCGCAAGACGGTAGGCAGCGGCTTGGCTCTGCCCCTGGCATTGGTGAAGTCCATGGGCGACGGTAACCACTCACCATCAGGTGGGCCGTATGCTCGTCTGCCTACAAAGGCAATAAAAAAAAATTATTATTATAACGGAAGATTTTGGAACAGTGGAAGTTTTATTTGATGCGTTGTGATTCCTATTCTACATTACTGGTGTATCTAAGCGCAGTATTGTCTACATCATTCACGCCACAAAGTAAACTCGCGTCAAAAGGAAAGATACTCCACATTCGACGTCAGGCCTTAAACCTCAGGTTTGGCCCATGCTTGATAAATAAATATATTTCGCGTTGCTTAACAGACACAGAAATGAAAGTATTTTCGATGGCATTTTCACTTGTGATTAAATATGGATTCTTTTTGATAATCGTAAATGGTCATCACGTTGTTTAGACCCTAATTCAGCACCTAGGCAATTGGCCAAACGAAAACTTACTAATCTTACTAATGTGTACTTAAATCCTAAATTAGGGCCCAATGACTGTGTGTAAGTTGTTCCCAATTATTATTATCATCATTATTATTATTAATTCACAAATATCCTAGCAGTCCTGGTTAATCGCTCGTTCCCGCTGCCCCTACGCGACTGTGTCCAACTTCGTAAGGCACAATAATCGACCTCTAAGCTACAAGAACTAGGGTTGGAAGTTTTAACCCATGCACCATACTCACCAAACCCTGCGCTGAAACACTTCTGCTTTTTGCAAAATTTGGATAATTTAGTAGTCAGTCAATTAGTCATCGCCCACTGAGTTTCCCTCCGGATCTTCTCAGTGTGTCGTGTTTCCGATCCGGTGGTAAATTCTGCGAAACACTGCTCTTGCTAGGGCTATTGCTGGCAATGTCATCAGGTTTGAACCATGTTAGTTCATCTACTAATTCTGTGAACCTAGTATTAGCCCTCGAGGCTACTATAATAGGTAGGAAAAAAACATAGTAATAAGTATTTTTTGCTCGTTTCAATTTTTTATACAATGAACTTCATTGGTTCGTCAAAATAAAGTCCGCCACCCTGCTTGTTCCTGTTGCGATACTACCATGTACCTCGGTTTGTAATGCATTGTTTGTATTAGGCAAAACCACACGGATGGTTCCTACCCGCGCTGCTCACGATTCACTATCAGTCCCTACGACATTTAAGCTCGGTCTGTGTGTCCAAGGTACAGACATTACATGAATAACCCTTCAAATCATCTTACAGCAGCTTTAGGGTTTACCGCTAATGCTGAACTGATTTTGAAATCTACATTCATTCACATTCAGAATCCAGAATAATTTAACTTTAAATAACTCCTGACAATTTTTATTTTATTTGGAAGATGGCATCCACTAATTGCTGTATTATAGTTAATGACATTCGCAATTAAGATACATTTCTGTGGTTTTCCACTCGTTATATTAACTTTGACACACACAGCCAGTGAGTCAATTAGTCCCTTGGACATCATGGCGCTCACACAGCAGGTGCGTTACCTTTATTTAATTTATTTAGGCTAAAGAATGTGTGCGGCTGACTAGTTTCTGGTATAAAAAATATATAACTATATAAGCACCCTATATTTGAAGGGTCCGGAAACGAAGGCAGGTGGTAGTGCCATGGCACTTGGCACTGAAAAGGTTTTTCGTAAATTTAACTGTTACTGATTTTTTTTGCATTGTAACTGCGCAGTTAAATATTTAGTTTGAAGACAACTCTTGAGAGGCTGTATCAACTTCTCCTTGGCGTGTAGGTGAGCTCACGGGGCTCAAACCGGGTGTGTTACTAACACTGGCCCTAGCAAGAGCAGTGCTTCGCAGAATCTACCACCGGATCGGAAACGCGACCCACTGAGAAGATCCGGCGAGAAACTCAGTGGGCTGTATCTATGGGTTGATTCGCTCGTCGAGCCCTTCGTCGCAAGCTACGGGTTCGACGAGGACTGTGACCGGAGTTGGAAGCAAAATTTGCTTTATAAACCCGAACTTATCAATGATGGATTTTATAGATACTGGTGGTAGGCCCTCTTGTGAGCCCGCGCGGGTGGGTACCACCACCCTGCCTATTTCTGCCGTGAAGCAGTAATGCGTTTCGGTTTGAAGGGTGGGGCAGCCGTTGTAACTATACTCGAGACCTTAGAACTTGTATCTCAAGGTGGGTGGCGCATTTACGTTGTGGATGTCTATGGGCTCCAGTAACCACTTAACACCAGGTGGGCTGTGAGCTCGTCCATCTATCTAAGCAATAAATAAAAAAAAAGACAAAAGTTTGGTACAAAGCGGAGCTATATTTTTGTTCCTAGTGATTCTGTTCAGGGCAGTCAGTGCTCTTTGAAACCGATCAATCATGTTTATCGGACATTATGAGTCAAGACCTTTCAAGCAGATACGCCGCAAGACGTAATGAAACCCTTCAAGTTAAGTCCATGAATAACAAAATACTAAAATCTTACATTCCTTGGTTTTCTTTTGGTATTTTTATAGTATAGTCGGGAGAAAGAGATAATGGTCCACCAATTTTTAAGTGGTCGCCGGAACTCATAGAGCATAGACATTACATACCCGTGTGGACTTACCGTTCCTACCAACAGTTGTTCTATCTTATTAGATGTAATTCCTTCATCGTGAGAGTCCCACGTGACTATAAAAAACAATTGTTTGGTATCTTCTTTCTTTACATTCCTAACTCTGTATGCTTTCTGTTTCAGATATTGTTGGTGATTATCGGCGTAGCCTTTGTTTACTCTGCTCCATTGACTCCGGGGCTCCTTTCCAATGTCCTGAGCAGCCCATTGCCCGTATTGAATAACAAACCGCTGGATATACTGAATAAACCTTTGGGAATCATCGGAGACAAACCTGTCAGTGGAGCTCTAAGTACCTTAGGTCTTAGGACTGGCCAGTCTGCAGATCATGCCGGGCTGATACCTGGCCTAACTAGTGCCAGTGGTTCACTAGACAACCTGGGATTGAATGATCTCTCGGAAGCTTTGGGACTTAACAGCGGGATCTCATCGCTGCAAGACCCACATCTTCTCTCGAAGCCTTTAAATGCATTGGGTGTATTAACTTCTAAAGGTCAGAAAGTACCAGACGCAATAGGATTGGAACCAAAACCGGGACCTGTTGGTGGAAGCTCCGATGAAAAACCTGCTCTAGGGTTGATTGATCATTCAGATGAATATCATACAGCAGAGCGGTAAGGAAATATACAGCGCCTCACGACCTTAAATTGAAAAAAAAAATGCGGTAACCCTATAAATTTTCTTCACTTCTATGTTTCACATTACCAATTACTCCGGATGCTATGTAAGTCATTGAATAAATACAGATTAAAGAAATTATTGTTGTAGTTATTTGGTAGAAAATGTTATACATGTTAACTTTACATTGTAATTAACTTTACCCCTCGGAAAATACCATACAGCTTAAAACATAATCTTGAATACCGAACGTAAAATACATTCCAGATATTACTGGCACGTCGAAAGCTGACATTAGCATCGTACAAGTCATGAGTGCCTTTGGGAAATCAACTCGCGCACATGACTCCTCCCGTAGGATGTGGTTTCCTGACCAGCGATACAGTGTCGTCTGTTACGATTTATATATTCCGGAATTATATTAAATACTGGTTGTCTATAGTACTTTAACTACAGTATAGGTGATAGATACATTGAATTGTTTGAGATGATCTCATCATCTCATTTTTACCATCGCACCGCCCGTCACCGGAGTGGAGTTCATCCATACTACCTAGAACCACTGCGATCATCCACAGTGCGCTTCCAAAGATCTTTTTTGACAAGCACCATCCGGCTTTGGAGTGAGCTCCTCTCTACGGGGTTTTTCCCGAGCGCTATGACATGTCCTTCTTCAATAGAGCCTTGTGGAGAGTTCTTAACAGTAGGCAGCGGCTTGCTCCACCCCTGGCATTGCTGACGTCCATAGGCGATAGTAACCACTTAACACCACTACCTTATTAAAAATTCAGATCAAACTAAGGTACTAACAATATAATATTATTACGTCGGTAAGAGCAACGCCATCTATCAGCGAATAGGAAAAACTAATATCAAAAGAACTTTAAAGTAAAGTCGAGAATGCTCGAGAAGTGCAACACTAAGTATCTATTTTCAAATAATGGAACTACATATCGAAATTACTCGACTTGTCAGGAATGTTCTCGATAATTCTAGAGATATCGTATCGACTATAAAAACCGAACCGAACCGAAACAGCGAACGGATCACCTGACGCGAAGCGAAAGAAGCGAATTACGAATTGTAAAGTGTTCTGTGAGTGTTCTAAATGTTAAAGAAAGTTTTAATTTGTACTTTGGTAGAATTCTTATTTATCCCGAACCCCAGCGCGTAACAATATTAATCAGACTATACTTCAATTAATTTAAATGGTGCCTCAGAATTTAAATTGCTCTATCCATTATAACACAATTAATTTACAATAACTGCGTCATTGCTTTAAGCTATTGAGAACTCGAAACTAATACTCTAAAGTAATGTTTAGTAATATACCTCAACATAGCTTGAAAACAATATCTATTGGCTAATCTAAATATAAGATTTCAATTGGCTTAAGAAATTCATATTGGGAAACCATAAACCATAGTAATTTAAAAAGAAAAAAAGCACCCTTTAGTAATAGTAGTAGTAAATAATTTAAATTATCTTTTTTGAACCTGTTTAGGACAATTAATTATATACATACATACTTATTTATTTAACTTAATGCACAGAAGTACGATGGCGGACTTAATGCCTGAGGCATTCTCTACCAATCAACCAAGGTGGTAGGTGCATGACTTAATGTGAAAATAACCAAACTATATTATACAATATACAAATCTACATATCTGTACATCGTTTCTTGTGTGTGCGAACTTTCAAGATAATCGATTGTTTTGAACGACCAGTTCTCAAGTCTTGAAGTTGTTGATAGATTGCGTTACATATATAGACCCAAATCAAGAGAATAATAGTGTGTATTTTTATTTTTTTTATTGCTTAGATGAGTGGGCGAGCTCACAGCCCACCTGGTGTTAAGTGGTTACTGGAGCCCATAGACATCTACAACGTAAATGCGCCACCCACCTTGAGATATAAGTTCTAAGGTCTCAATTATAGTTACAACGGCTGCCCCACCCTTCAAACCAAAACGCATTACTGCTTCACGGCAGAAATAGGCAGGGTGTTGGTATATTCAAAAAAGCATGGAAAACTTGGACACTTGATCTATTACTTCAAGATAGCTTAATAATCGTATTATCGTCAAAATTTAAATAAATATTTGGATTGCTATTTCGTTAATAGCAAAAAATTTCGTACCTTTTTTTATTGCCTTTGTAGGCAGACGAGCATACGGCCCACCTGATGGTAAGTGGTCACCGTCACTCGTGGACGTCAGCAATGCCAGGGGCAGAGCAAAGCCGCTGCCTACCATTAAATACTACTTAATTTTGTACCTTTACGTATGGGCAGAATTCATCACCAATTCACTCATTGTCTCACAATGAAACTACCATCATCCAAATCAAAAATCATGAATACGAGTCAGGAATAAGTAGGATGGTTGTACCCACCCGGCGGACTTATAATTACTGTTAGTTAATTTAAACCAAAATCAGGGGCTACAGGATAAAGCTACTCATCACAAGTCAAGAGACAGCCAATGGCTATAGGACACCAGATAGACTAACTGTGTTTGATCCTTTAAAATCATTCACTACAACTATAGCGCTCCCTTTTTTCCTCAGAATAAATTTATCGTATTTTTGAAGTGAAACTTCTTAAGGCACGTTGAGAGCAAAATTTAGTTCACGACAGATTCGTTACCGCTAGAGAGAAAAATACAATTTAGGAGGCGCGAGAGTGAGAAAATAGACAGAGCGTCTCGCGAACCACTCGACCGTGGAGAGAGGGAAAGGANCATTCACTACAACTATAGCGCTCCCTTTTTTCCTCAGAATAAATTTATCGTATTTTTGAAGTGAAACTTCTTAAGGCACGTTGAGAGCAAAATTTAGTTCACGACAGATTCGTTACCGCTAGAGAGAAAAATACAATTTAGGAGGCGCGAGAGTGAGAAAATAGACAGAGCGTCTCGCGAACCACTCGACCGTGGAGAGAGGGAAAGGACAAAGCGAACTAGATCTTTTCTCTTATACACAGCATTACCTATTACAAGAGAAATTTGATTTAAGGATGAAAAATTAAGAAAACCACAATACTATACACCGCAAAAGAAGTTTCACTTCTTTCACGTGCACCAAGCTTCATAAGCACCACTTTTTTGTAACAGGCGCGTTTTTATTTGTCGTGTCCTTTATTTAGCATATTTTTTGAAAGTCTAAACTTTAGTCAATATCGGATGTTTAGGAACATCACTAATTAAGTTGAAAGATCCCCTACTAGATCAGCTGGTTTCGCAACCTTGTCTTGTGCTGACACCAAAATTGTGGTCCACACTCCGGTCTGTCTACAAAGCCAAATAAATAAATCCACAATTTGCTTTTGCCGTGCCCCCCCCAAAATTTAATCTATCTATCCAGTCTGTTAAAAATTATCCATCAGTACGCCGATGTATCTCGTGTGCAAAAGAGCAGCGTCTATGAATTCAACTAATGCAAGGCTAGGTCGTCATCTATCTGATGAACAAAAGAACCGTGCTAGAGTTTTACAGTTTTATGTTTCTTAAATTAAAAGGTACTACAGTGCATTTATAATGTCTAAAGCAGACAGAGTTTACGTCCAGATTCCCGCTCTAAGCAACACGTGGGAGAATATCACAGAATAGCACGGCTCTTCCGAATGTTCTCAAATGTCGCTAGTCATCAGTAACGATCTCATATATCAGAACAGTTACCGCAACCGGAATCCTAACTCTTATTTATGACCACGAATTCCCTGACACTGTCTTTCGTGAAATTTCATATAGCTAAAAACTGACTTAATTAGGAAAGAATATTTTGTATTAATTTGGGTAAAAATTCAATTTTATAATTGATTTTTAAGAAGATAACATAAAAGCAGACTTTACTGAACTGATGCGGCGTAGTGGGGTCTCGGCTTTAAAACATACTAATTCTACGAAGGACGATGGGAACCGCTACCAATAAATACTTCAGAAATTTCACATAATGAATACGTGACTAAAATACAAAAGTCTCTGTCCAAGCATGTCTTCGCAGACAGCGCATTGAGACGAACAAGACGAGGTCACTAACAGTGCAGGATATAGGCTCTGATAAGGAAGCACATGAACAACAAATTATCTGTCTAATGTAATAAGTTATTCATTAAGAAACGCTCAAGTGTCCGTATTTAGAACAATTACATTAAAAACACTATGTACAGCACGTCTATGTTATTAGCAATGCTTAATAATTAATAGACCAATTCTAAAATAATTTAATTTTCAGTGGATTTAAAGACCTTTTTTACTGGTGGTAGGACTTCTTGTGAGTCTGCACGGGTAGGTACCAACCACCCTGCCTATTTCTGCCGTGAAGCAGTAATGCGTTTCGGTTTGAAGGGTGGGGCAGCCGTTGTAACTATAACGAGATTAGAACTTATATCTCAAGGTGGGTGGCGCATTTACGTTGTAGATGTCCATGGGCTCCAGTAACCACTTTACACCAGGTGGGCTGTGAGCACGTCCACCGACCTAAGCAATAAAAAAAAATAAAAAAAAAAGGTAACGTTAAAAGCGGACACTGTTATTTCGATTTTATCATCATCCGCTAATTTGAAGCTAAATATGTATGTATTATCTTATTTTATTGGGTACCAACATATTATACATCAGTACAAAATTAGCATATGTAATTCGCAGATACATTAATCACACACAAAATACTAACACAATTACAGGCAGCGAATGCATGCTTTGGTAAAACACAGTTCATTGCATGGTTCTAGAAAAATAAAAATGTAATAATAATAAAAATCAGAAAGAAGCTCATTGAGTAAGTTTGTAGACGTCTCGTCTTTAGACAGTTTTAACTGTCAACAAAAAAGTCCAGAGAATAAATAGCTGCTGTGCAAATTATTTAATTCCCAAACTATTCTGTTGAGAAGGGCATTCTTATTGAGATTGGTGTACTATCTAAGTGCCATAGAAAACGCATCTGGATTTCAAAAATAAAATCAAAAAGAATTCAAAGTGATACTGCAGTACTCCAGACTGCGAACGTAAGAATAATATAATTTTTTTAAACTAAACTTTGGTTAATCTTGCTAATTTTATTGTTACACACCTAGTTAATGAAAATGTGCATCCGGAAATGTCCAGTGCAGTGTTGAGGTTGTTATGTCAATGGAGTCAAAGAAGTAATCATTATTGAAGTAGATAAAAAAAAAACTAAATTCAAAAGGCTCAAATAATTTATTCAACTTAGAAATATAAAAATGTCCTTACAGTAATAATTTTACTTAATTACCTACTATATACAGACCCGTTTACCTTAAATCTAATAAATAAAAAACGAAAAACTGACTTCATACCGTGATAGGCCTTTATGAAATAGACGAATCACGGAAATCGCATCAATACGCTATTCATGCATGAGGTCGAAATACAAAATACAATTACCATTACACATTTACCGGAAGAGATTCTTTAGATTATGACGCACTTCGTCATGTAATGGTGGAGAAGAAGATGTAAGAATGCCCTACCCTGGCCACACAAGATGAGCGCGCGATTCATGTTTAATTTATGGCAACAGCGGCCTTAAGAAGGCATCAAAATGATTTAACAATGATTGCTATTCATCGAGACTACTATTCAATCGACAACAGAACCCGTCAATGTATTTATTTCTTACGACTTAAATCACTTTACGAAGCCAGTGTATATTTGTGAGTATTTTTTATAAACTAAACATTATCCGTTATACGTCGCCATTTTGTTTTGGAAAATGAGTACCTGCATATTTATGATTTTTATGATAACTAATTATAAAAAAACTATAAATGATTGACCAACAAACATTTTAATTTTAGTCACATTACGTAGACACAGCACAGTGGATGTACTTTGTTATGCTATCGAATTCTGGAGACCAGACCATGTAGATAATGTAGGAGTATCGACAATACCAAATAACGCGAACCCACGGTATATCTTCGCCTCATAAAGAACTCAATATAAACAGCTTTTTTTTTTCCTACCTATTCTAGTAAGCTCGAAGGGTTATTCTAGATTCGCCGAATTAGTAGGTGAACTCACGGGACTCAAACCTGACGATGTTGCTAACACGAACCCTAGCAAGAGCCGTGCTTCGCAGAATCTACCGGAAACGCGATCCGGTGGTAGGTGGAAACGATGAGAGGGTTCTCGTGTTGTGCCGCTTTATCGAAATGGCGTAATAAAGAGCAATAACTCAAATTTGTATGCAGTTGGAACAGCGCCCCTAGCGGCAAACGTTCCAACTCCATACAAATTTGCGTTAACTTTTACGCTATCGAGAACTTTAAAAAACTTTCACTAAGCTCACTGCTTATTGTATGTTTACGTTGAAACTATTCCTTTCTGGCTTGTACATCGTGGTACATAAAATAATTCTAAGTCACTAGACCAAGATGTTCTCGACGCGCCGACTACAAGATGCAATCACGTTATTTTCTTTTGCCGTCGCAAGCTGAGCGTTCTCGAGAGTCGTAGAAGCGGTCAACAACACTTGAAAACCTAACCTCGTTTTGTACACATTCAAAAATTCGACATTTTCATTAATTCCTTGGTCTCGTACTTCGATGTTGATAAAAGCGAGATTAAACCATAAAATATTTAATGAAATTTCATTATTTCAATATTGTAATTGTTATGTTATTACAATTTTTTTTTAATGACAAGAACTTTGTATAAGTTGCCTTTTGAGGGCTTATTAAAATTTCAAAATTAAATTTTTTTTTATTGCTTAGGTGGGTGGACGAGCTCACAGCCCCCCTGGTGTTAAGTGGTTACTGGAGCCCATCGACATTCACAACGTAAATGCGCCACCCACCTTGAGATATAAGTTCTAAGGTCTCAGTATAGTTACAACGGCTGCCCCACCCTTCAAACCGAAACGCATTACAGCTTCACGGCAGAAATAAGCGGGGCGGTGGTACCTACCCGTGCGGACTCACAACAGGTCCTACCACCAGTAAAAAACAATCTGCGAAGCAATCTGCTCTAGTTTATTTTTTACTTGAATATTTCTACGGGAAAGACCTTATTTGTCGTGCTTTGATTGCGATTACAATTCGTACCAATAGTATTATGTGACGTGAATAAATTCAAAGCGCTTCACGAGCATTTTTCCTTGAACCGTCTTCGTAAGCCATGATTTTAGTTAGAGAGCATGAGAAAATTCGTGTTTTACTTACAATAATAGTCATCCCTCTGAGCTTGTCACAAAACTGTTTCTACTGAACCCGTCCGCGCATACGTCGAAGCTGTGCACGCTTGGATAAGTTTCGTAGAATTACAGCGCGCTTTACAATCTTGCTATTTTCGGCAATTTTATTCACAGTGAAAATACAGAAACTACTTAAAGGATTTTACGATTTCGCTACGGTCACACCAACACCTCGCAACTATTTATTTTGTTTTTTTTATGACTGGTGGCCCGAGGCCTTTCTAGTTTCACCAGGACAAGTGGGCGAGCAAAGGCTCAGCCAGGAGGGGTGGGATATGCTAACAACCCGCCCGAGCGCCTCCGAAGGTGACCTTGTTTATTTTGTACTTATGATAGTAGCCAAATCCGTGATGAGGTGTGTAGTGTTGCGTGATGGTGGAGGCGGCGAACCTACTCCTGCTGGCCGCGCTGGCGGGTCCTGTCGGTGAAGCGCACGATGCAGTCGCGCACGGCCATGTTGGGGCGCAGGAAGTCGGACAGCGTGGTGGCGGCGGGCGCGGGCCGGTCGAACGGGAAGCCCATGGCGCGCCGGTCCGGGTACTTGCGGTCGCGGATGCCGCAGTACGACGCCGCGTCATTGCACGACCCCACCAGGTCTTGCTCCACCTGACCGAGCACACGAACAACGTGTTAGTGTAGCTCATCAGCCGCCTGCCTCATCATCCACGTGTACCAACATGTAGAAAACTTACCCGGTCATCATTCCAGTTGGACACCATGACGAACAGCACCATAGGATATCCTTCAGTGGTTCCCTTGGGTATCAGCATGTGCTGAGGCCACCCGCAGCCGCAGAAGTCAAACTCGGCAGACTCGGGAGATCCCGGATTACCTGGCCTGTCAGCCTGGTTGCTGAATGTCCTCTCGAACGGAACGGTCACTGAGGAGTCCACACTGCGACGACGTACTGTATTGTTGCCGGGCTTCACTGCGATTTACGAAGAAGTACAGAATAAATTATATTGTAGAATAAATCTACTAGTTAACTAGATTCCTTTTCGACGCTTGAAAGACAAACGTGACTAAGCGACAATGCGTGAACTTTACAGTAGACTAAATTATTTAAAGTTGAAATACCTGAAAACAAAATTTATTTTAATGAATCTAGCTGTAGTAGAATCTAGCTAGTAGCTGTAGGGTTGGAATGATTTTAATAGACCTACAGATATATTGTTTTTGCGCATCGAATATGGTTATTGCTTATCATTTATGTACAAAGCAGTTATTCGCTCAGTCATGTTTGCCTTTCAAGCTTCGTTTTTATTTATCCGCTGACATCCACATCAGACTAGCCAGTGGCTCTAGTATCATGACAGTCCATTGCATAAACAACAATTGCTTCCGTGTTGCCAACCTTGAGAGCCAGTGTAGGATCGGTCACGTACTGCGATTAACAATTTCCAACAAATTTGAATAATAAAGATCCACAACATCTCGTCGCGGCTGATAACTCAGTAATGAGCTTCAATTACCAATTTATGAGTTACAATTACAAAACAAAGGTCTGGACGAATAGTTACTTACAGCCCTGTGAGAACTTGTCGAGTTCGATCATGAGTTTCCGTTGCTCGTCGAAGTTCAGAGGCCGCTTATTCTCGTCAAGTGTTGGGGCGATGAATATCCTAAACATGCCCATGACACTACTGCGGCCCGTGTTATTCACTTCGATCCTGGAGAGAACGTACACCTCTTATTGTCTTGAATAATAATTAAAAAAATAAAAAATCATGTTACTTGACTTTCATGCCGTCAAACACAAAAACAGTTAAAACACTAAGTCTACGGGCACGAAATTTGCGATGGCTGAGCGATGGCGGCAGCGGGGCGACGCGACACGGAGCGGGTAGGCAGCGATATCTCGCGCGGGCACGAAACAAGCTGGCGGGCAGTCGCGCTTGAGCAGTGTTGTGCGAATCATGAGTTTACGTCGAAGAGAACTATTGGAGCCTAGTTTCCTATTGAGAGAATTATTATTACCTAGAGATGGTGTTCATCCAATAAATCAACGAAGACGCAATTTGGGAGAATTTTCTACGCTTTATTACGAGCTAAGGTGTCATTCAATTAAATTTTAAATTCCTTGTTAAATTATAAGATCCTCATTATCAATTTCCATTACTAAAATAATAATTCAACACAACACTGTGTACCCGCGCAAGCGACGAAACCAAATTAGTTTGTTCTCGTCGCTTCCGCGTCGCCGTCGCCCCATCATCGCCCGTACATCGCTCGATCGCCCCGCTCCGCCATCGCCCGTTTCGTGCCCGTCCCCATACTGTGCANATCAATTTCCATTACTAAAATAATAATTCAACACAACACTGTGTACCCGCGCAAGCGACGAAACCAAATTAGTTTGTTCTCGTCGCTTCCGCGTCGCCGTCGCCCCATCATCGCCCGTACATCGCTCGATCGCCCCGCTCCGCCATCGCCCGTTTCGTGCCCGTCCCCATACTGTGCAATGCTTTTGAATACATCGCCGTCGCCCCGCTACCGCCATCGCTCGGCCATCGCAAGTTTCGTGCCCGTAGACTAAAGCCTTCGTCAAACAGAACGCGTACTTAGCGTCGCATACTTAACGTCGCGCTCTTTTCATGTCACACAAATTGACTAGATGAGCCCAACGCTCCTTGAGGCAACGCATTCGCCAAATCATAGTGTCTTTCGATAGCAGTGTGAAAATTTAAAAGTATTAAGAAATCGAGTGATTCAGATGTGGCATTGTATAAGCATGGATATTTTCTTACTATTTATATAATTTTTTCGGGCATTATCTAGTATTTTAATACACATTCACTCCGACGCTAAAATAAAATTTGTAAAAAATTACAACGCCTGACGTCAAAGCGTCCCAACGCCGCGTCAGAGCGCTGCGTACTTATAGCGCTGGGGCTCTGTTTGACGGTATGTTACCATAGTAGTACAACACATCTCGGCGTCATAGCGCGCCGTCAGTTTAGCGCTCTGACGCGCGCTAATTACGCGTTCTGTTTGACGAAGGCTTAAAGTGACTCCGTAGGGCCGAATGTTCCAAGAGTAACGTTAGCATCGCCGCTTGGATAATGAGTCTTATTGTGACGATAGCCGCGTTTTAACGTCTGTTAGCTCAAATTTACTTGAGATATATGCGCAGTGAGCCCTTTCTAACTACGCAAACAATCTTCTCAGAATAGAAAGAACACAGAAACGAATTTGCATCACACGGCTGTGCCACCCTGAATAAATTAAATAGGTACTATAATAGATAATTGTATATAATTGAGTGTGTGCGCGGGGCCTCGGTTCGCAAACTATGGAAAACATCTGTCAAGGCTTTAATAAGCAAGAATTCCACATCACCACGAATACTCTGCCAAGAGCAACCGATTATGATGATGATATAATTGTCAGAATGTATAGTCTCACTCTATTACATATTATAATAACACTAACACATAACTGTAGTCTTCATGCTGTAGGTGAGTGAACCTGGCCAGAACACTGCCACGGGGACTAAAGTCCAAGCCACGAGCCAAGTCCACAGTACTCTGCTCCCAGAAAGTATTCAGCATGTTAGGAGCTCCTTTACCATCGAGACTAATGGACCGAACCCTGATGTCGGGGAAGATCAGCTGTAAGCATATTTTGTGCACATTAATTAAGTGTAAGAATAGATGTCTCCAATTTTTTTGTACAACCCTTGGGAATCGCAATCTTCAAGCTATTGTAGTTAAGGGATATCACACATTTTCAATTGATGTAGACACCAAAGTTTTTAAAGCCAAAACAATATTAAAGTATCTACAAAAGTACAATAAGGATGAAAAGAGGAATCTTGTACAAGCCATAACCATACCCATAGCAGTCAATAACATGTCAGAAACTGCACCGCGACGGTCGCATTATATCATCTGTTGTGCTTCTCTGTTACCGCGTACTAGTGGGCTGGTGGAAAAAATTTTTTTTTCTTTGTAAAATTCGAAGTTACGTCTTACCCTATCATCGCTATAAGGTGTAAGTTTGTACTTGTAGAGGTGGAAAACAGAATCTATGTATCCATGCCAGCGAAAGAACAATGGGTCACGCATGGTCGTTGCCAGGTCTCCCATCACGCCGAACGGTTCCTATAAATCAAGTATTACATTATTTATCACCATAAAATTGTAATGGTGTACACCATCGGATTAATTCATTCGCAGATGGTGCAGTTTTTGCGCAGTGAACTTATTAATCTTGTAGTTATATCACTATTTATCAACCTTTCAGTTTTAAGGGTGGGTAAGTCGTTATATAATACAAATGGGACTTCAATTTCATGATTCAAAGTGCCAATGGTATTCAAGCTACTACCAATGAATCTAGAATCACTTAACGCCAGGTTGGCCATCAGCCTGCTTAGCAAGGATCTACCAAAGCAACTGAAAATGTAATAATTAAAACTATAATTCCTCACTTTATTTTTGTATACAAAGACAAAAAAAAACAAAAACACGGTGTTTACCAGATGACGATGATCAGGGTCGTGGCAGTACCCGATAAAGACGTGCCCCATGTTGTGGAGGTCACCGTAGTATGGGCGGTTTACACTGATGGTGGACGATTCCATCAGGTTACCCAGCACGTCAATACCAGTCTCTTCGTCCAGAGGCATTTGACGCCCATTGGGCTGTAATAATTGTAGCATATTTCATCATACCTTCAGTGAAATCATACGTGTCAAAAAGAATGCATATACAGAAGTTTGCAAGAGGATAATCTTTCTCTGGTGCTAAGATGTCTTTATAAATGCAGTAATATAACTCGTATGCTATTTATTTAATCTCATTACTACACCATATGTAGAGAGGTTGATCAGAAGGTTTACGAGTAGTAGGAGTAGAAGGAGTTATGTGACACCTAAAAAGGGTGTGGACTAGCTAAATGAATGGAAACTGTTATATTACTTATCACAATTTCTTATTTTTCGAACATGTTATGATGCGAAGACAAGAACTTCATACCAGGATCACTGCCATATCCTCGATCGCCTTCAGAAACCTGTCCCTCCAGATCTCCAGCTCAGAGATATCGATTCTGATCTGGTCTATCGGTCTGTCTAAGTCACGGAGAAACGAACCAGCAAATCTAAGGATTAGAATATTAAAATATTAGTTGAGACTGTGGACCAGAATGGGAGAAATGTAAACAATTTTTAAAGACATAAATCGGCGGATGGGTATCAGGCCGACTGAATGTTGAGCAGTTCTTGCATGTCATACATACCACAACTAAAGCGTCTCCCTCTCCTCTGCCCTTCAATCAACAAGTCTATTAATATTCAGCAAAAAGAAGCGGTGTAAAAAATAGAGATCGAAAATACCAAAGCTACTTTTACTTTTTGACCAATATGAAATAAAAACCCTCTGAGCTTCTATCTTTTTAATTAAATCCTTCGATAACAGATATTTAATTTTTGATCCAACTATTATTCTTACCTAGGAGGCCAGGCTCTGCTGGCAACTTGCGAGTCCATCTTAGGGAAGTAGCCCTCTTTAATGGGACCCCTGAAGTCACTGTAGGTTTCCACTTTCCTCAGGTCGTTGCAGAATCGTTCGATGTTGAATCTAATCAAAAATGTGATTATTTTAATGAATTCATTTGAATCGCAATCCAGGTGCTCAGCTAGGGATCTCAGGGCTGCCTCGGTTATCATTTTATTCGAGTACATCTCATTATTAAGCGGGTAAGTACGTATATCCATAAATTTTAATTGCTTAAATTTGTAATTGGTTCTTATCTGTTATGGATTCTATGCGACTTTTTTTAGGATAAGATGACTTTAATGTAATAATGGATCTAAAATATATAATTTATGGACTAGAGCCAAAGAATTTGTCAACAGTTAACGAATGCTCACACAACAGTTAACGAATGCTCACAATTCACAACCAGTGCTGCAGGCTGGCTCACAACGGTGGTTTTCGAAGTGCTCTCAAAAATGATTGACACACGACTCGTACGGTACGATGATTCCTCATACGGTAAAATCAGACTCATAGAATTCATAATATGTTAGGATTAAACACAATGTGATGACAAGGAGCGTGGGGTGTCCTCCAAACAGGTGGACTGACGACTTAGTGCGCACGGCGGGAAGTAGTTGGATGCGGAAGGCGGAGGACCGCATTATGTGGAAGGCATTGGAGAAGGCCTATGTCCAGCAGTGGGCAGATAAAGGCTGATGATGATGATGATGATGATGATGACTGGTGCGTGGAATCTATTGCCTACAAATAAATTTCTTAACAAATAAATTCTGCTTGTGTCGCTTATTGTATAACGCTATGGAGGTTGGCTCAAACATTTACTGATCAGAGAGCATAATAAAACCTCATTTGCGATTTGAGACGATTATCTCGTGGTCCAAAAAAACACCCAGATGTATTAATAATAATATATAATAATATAATATAATATAATATAAGCCTTTATTAACAATCAAATTTAAGTTACATTTTTAATACACTTATTATCTAGTTTTCTTATTCGACACCGGTTTCTTGATCATCTTGCTGTACAGCATAGGCCTCCCCAAGGGTTCTCCATAATAATCTATCCTGCGTTTTTCTCATCCAAGTCGTTCCTGCCACTTTTTTGATGTCATCTTCCCATCTACGTTGCTGTCTTCCTCTATTTCGCTTTTTATATCTAGGACACCATTCTGTCACTCCTTTGGCCCATTTTTCTGTTTTATCTCGAATTAAATGTCCAGCCCATTTCCATTTCAGTTGTTGTATTCGGTATTTTATATCTATGATCTTTGTTTGTTTTCTTATTTTTGTTAACCGTATTTTATCTTTTAATTTCATGTTTAACATACTTCTTTCCATTCGGTGTTGACAAATTTCTAAAGATTTTATGTTCTTATTTGTCAATCCCCATGTTTGGCATCCATAGGTCATACTTGGAAGAATGCATGTATTAAATATTTTCTTCTTTGCCTTAACAGGTATTTCTGAATTCTTCATAACATCTTTTAATGCCCAGTACCTTTTCCATCCTATATTTATTCTGTTACTGATTTCTTTTGCTGTGAGGTCTTTGTGGGATATGATTTGGCCGAGGTATGTATACTCATTTACATATTCTAATTTAGCTGTGTTGTAAGGTTTGATAGGGACTTTTTTGTAATTTGTCATCAGCTTTGTTTTGCTTGTGTTCAATGATAGTCCAACTTTTTCACTTTCACGTACAAGTTGCTCAATCATTTTTTGTAAAGTTTCTGGATTTTCGCTTATAAGTATGAGGTCGTCGGCAAATCTCAGATGATTTAGTAACACTCCATTAATATTAATACCGTAATCGTCCCATTCGAGCTGACGAAACACATGTTCTAGGGTTGCAGAGAAAAGTTTGGGTGAAAGGGGGTCTCCCTGTCTAACTCCTTTTTTGATGTGAAAGTGTTCTCCTAGCTTTTCTGTCCGTACTCTTGCTTTCATGTTTTCGTATATGTTTTTCAATAGACGGATGTACTTATTATGGACTCCTTGTAAAGCAAGCGCTTCCCATATTTTCTGATGTTTTAGCGAGTCAAATGCTTTGTTATAATCTATAAACGATAAATAATAGTTGATGTTATATTCATTACATTTTTGGATTATTTGTTTTATAGTATGTATATGGTCGAGAGTAGAGAAGCCACTTCTAAACCCTGCCTGTTCTTTTGGCTGATTTTCGTCCAGAGTCCTTGTTAATCGTTCTAGAACTATCTTGGAGAAAAGTTTATAAATATTAGACATTAGTGAAATGGGTCTATAGTTCGAAATATCATCTGTTCTGCCTTTCTTATGAATTAAGATAATCGTTGATGTAGTCCATTGTTGAGGTATATGTTCCGTTGTTAGAATATCGTTAAATAGGTCGGTTAGTGTATTGGAGATAGCATGGTACATTCCGACAAGAAGTTCATTAGAAATATTGTCTTCCCCTGGTGCTTTATTTTTCTTTAGTGACTTCGTGGCATTATTGACTTCATCTATTAGTATGCTAGGCACCTGTTCTTCTGAATTTTTTTCTTCTTCTTTGCTTAAAGTAGGTGTTATTGATTGGTCATCGTAGAGCTCTCGATAGAAATCGGTCGCGGTTTGGAGTATGTCACTTCTTTCCGATTTATGTTTTTTTGTCTTGTGGTGTGTTACGTTATTTATCCAAGTTGTATATTCTTGGAGTTCTTTCCATGCCTTCTTGAGCCCACCTGATTTATCTATATGAAGTTGTAATGTCTCTGTTCTTAATTTTTGTTTGTGGTTTCGTATTTCTAAGTTTATATTTTTACTAATTTTTGTTATCTCTTGCTTGTTGTTCTTTCTATTACTAAATAGAAGGCTCCTCTTTCTTATTAGTTCCCTTGCTATTGGTCCTAATCTATCTTTTGGTGTGTTTTCTCTTTCTAGCTGTTTGTTGATTTCTTTTAATACGTTTTCCAGAGTATTATATTTTTCTTGTGTCGTTTTCAGTTCTTTAATTGGTCGTAGGTTTATTTCTAAAGATTTTAATATATAATTTGGTACTGGTAGTATGATTGGCAGCTTTCTATTTTTTATAAATTTTCTTTGGTTTTTTGGTTGAAACATATGAAGGTGGCCTCGTAGTAATCTGTGATCTGTGTTAAAATTAAATCTGTTGAGAACTTCCACGTTTAAGAAAAGTTTCGGTTTATTTGTTGTAATAAAGTCAATTTCGTTTCTTGTTATGCCATCAGGAGATTGCCATGTACATTTTCTTAGAAGATTTCTTTTATAGAAACTATTCATTACAGTTAAGTTATTCTCTGCCGCGTAGTTTATCAACCTTTGTCCGTTATCATTTCGTTTGCCTATTGTGTAGGGTCCTATTATTTTATCTTCGTTTTTTCTCCTCTGACCAATTTGGCTATTAAAATCTCCCATTACAATAATGGTTTTGTATAAATTCTCCATTATTTCATTTAAGCTTTTGTAGAATTCGTTTTTAGTCTCTTTCTTTGCTGTTTCTGTAGGAGCGTATATCTGAGCAATTGAAGTCGGATTTTTGTAGCCAGGAAGAGTGATATTTAAAATTGCTATTCTATTTGACACTCCTTTAAACTCTATTATATTGTTTTTAAGATATTTCATAACCAAGAATCCCACGCCATATATTCCTGGTTGTTCATTTTTGTAATATAATATGTATTCATCATGTTCTTCAATTTTTTCAGCCGACCGTCTGACATCACTTATGCCGAGGATATCCCAATTGATGTGATTCAAAGCCTGCTCCAGTTCTAATAATTTTTCCTTCGATTTTAATGATCTAGTATTTAGTGTTGCTATATATATTCTATGTTTTCTAGCCTTTGTATTTGCTTCATTTATCGTCTGGTTTTTAGTTGGATTTGGATTAGAGTCGGAATTTTCGAGATCTTGGGGGTAGTGGTCGGTAACCCCGCGGTGACCAGCCGTATTGGGGTTTTCATTATATGTATTGGATGGTTTTTCTATTCTAGTTGCGATTTCGTTACCGGTGTCTGTTAATTCCTATGGTTTAAATTGTTTTTCATTGAAAGAGGATGATCTTGCCCTCATATATTCGAATGCATTGGTTTTGTGTAATTTTGGTGGTGCAATAATATGTTCCGAGTTTTTGGTGTGTGTAGGTGTATGCATGATATTAGGTGATGTCGAGGTTTCCCGCTTTCTTTTTTCGACATCCGACGTATCTCTTAATATTATTTTATTGTTTCGAATGAATGCGTCTTTTCCATTTTGTTTTTCTTGTTTGAGTTGTTCTTGTAAGTTTTTGCGTAATTCTATTGTTTCTTTTGAAAAATCTTCTGTGATATAAGCATGTTTCGGCATTTTCATCTTATTTTTCAATATTTCTAGTTTCTTTAGAAATGACGTAAAAGATATGAGTATTGGTCTCACTTTTCCCTCATCATGCTTCTTTCCTAGTCTATAGTAGTTATTTATCTCATAGGAGTTGATATCAACATTTAAACCTTTCATGATATCTTTTATTAAATTAAACAGTTCTTGTCGATTATTTTCTATTTCTTTTATGCCGTGTAGAATCAGGTTATTTTTCTTACCTTTGTTTTCTAAGTATCTTGCTTTATCATTCAACTTCTGTACCTCGTTTTTAAGATACTTATTTTCTTCCAATATTGGTTTTATTTTGTCGTCTATATTGCGCATGATACTGTCGGTTACACTCTGAGTAATCGTTGCAGTTTGTTTATCGAGTTCCAATTTCATCATCTGGAATAGTTTTGTCATATCCTCTGACATTTTGATCGAAGCCATCGTGATGTAAACAACTGTTTTGGTTTGTGTAGATTGGAACGTAATTTGCTCGTTGCGTTGGCACCACTGGGTGTCGTTGACGTTTTTCACTTTTTAAAGTCGTGACAGATTCTGCGTTTGATCTAGTTGTCAGTTGATATTTATTTATTTCTACCCTCAATGGAAATCTCAATGTGTATGTGTACCGCAATACAATCGATGTTAAAAGGTGTTTTCTTTTAGATTTTTTGGTGTTTTCTTTTAGTTTTTCTTGGTGTTTTCGTCAATCTTCCTTTCCAAGTTTTTGTTATGTGATACACGTTTTATATTCGTTGGTTTTCACTGTGGTATGTAATAAAAACTGGGAGCACTATAACGTACACTGTTGTCCTTTTGACAGCCGGAACGGAACGGAGATGTATTAATATATACCTTTAAATATATAACAGGGAATGAGAGAAATTTATCCTGAACCCTAACTCTCAGATTAGGTTAATGTGTACAGACAAACTGACCTGGCGATCATCTGCTGGTGCATGTAGTAGAAGAGCTCCCCGCGGCGGTCCTTGTTGACGAGGGCGCGGTCTGCGGCGTCGAAGGGGTACACGAGGTGCCAGTGCCAGTGGTGCAGGTTGGTGCCGATGTCCTCGCGGAAGTACGCCACGCGCTGCTCCGGCTCCGCGTCCGACGCGGTGTAGTTCGACGGAATCACTATTGGCATCTGACAACAAGAGACATCACTTTAAGAATCTTGAATCAGACAGTTCTCGGTAATTCAACAACAAATGGCTTCTTTTGCATGAGGTAAGAATATTCATTCTTGCCACCTCACGAAGTCCAGCAGCCCTTTGAGGCAACAACATCCAGTAGGGGTACACGAAGGTGTGGCCTCGTCAGTTCTAAGTTGCAAACACTTTTATTAATCCGGTTCTGCAACTGCTGCCGGTTCAGTTCTAACTTTGTTCCACAGCATCCGGCTGCGACTGTCACGCAAACAAAACGTTGTTGGATACTAACCCTGGCTCCAGTCGGTACAACGCTGGTCACTTCTCTGGCTTTGCGGAACACCTTCGGGTCCATGAACTTATCGGGAAAGCACACAGCAAAGGTTGGGATTTGCAAACCTTTCGTGTCTGATCTGCAAAAATGTACACCAGGGGTTTTAAATAAGAAGTTGCTAATAATATTTATCTCTAAAGTAGTTAGTCTAATATATATTTGTTTGTGCTGCTCTTAAAACCACAGATTCGCGTATGGAAAAACCGACCAATTTTTTTTAGATTTAGTAACTTTTTTCCTCTCTAAGCACCTGCCATTTTTGTAAACACCACATTGGCAAAGTCAAAATATGGCGCTTGAGCCAAATTCTTTATAAAAAAATTAAAAATAAGAAGTGTTGGAGATTGAGCTCAGCATGACTGACTTGCCGTGTTTTACCCTGACTGACTTTTTCAAAAGCATTTCACTCTCGAATTACATCCATCTAAAAGTACCCCAAACAATTATTTCAAATCCTATTATTTTTAATAAATAATCCGTCGGACTGCTTATTTTCACTTTCTCATTCTCAAGCAACAACTGAGCTTAAATCAATGAACTATTTTATGTTTCAGCTACCGGTAATAATAAAAAACCACCCACCTTGAGACATGAGTTTTAAACCTATTTTTTTTTCTTATGTCTGTGAACTAGCTCACGGCCCACCTGATGTTAAAGGGTTATCGGGGCCCATATACCCCTACAAAGTAAACCACCCACCCACTTTGAGACATGAGTTCTAAGATCTCACTTTTAACAGTACAACGGCTGCCTCGCCGTTCAAACCGAAACGCATTGCTGCTTCACGGCAGAAATAGGCTGGGAGGTGGTATCTACCCGTGCGGACTCACAAGACGTCCTACCGCCACTAATTATGCAAATTATAACTTTGCGGGTTTGCTTTTTATTACACGATGTTATTCCTTCAGCGTGGAAGTCAATCGTGAACATTTGTCAAGTACGTATTTCATTAGAAAAATTGGTACTTTCCACTGCGGGATTCGAACATCAGTGCATCGCAAGATACGAATGCACCGAACCTCTTATCCTTTAGGCCACGACGACGACAATTTTACGGTACAACGGCTACCCCACCCCTCAAACCAAAACCCATTACTGCTTATCGGCAGAAATAGGCAAAATAGTGGTACCATACGGGCTTACAAGATGCCATACTACAAGTAAAAATTTCCTAAAGAAAATTAGTATCTGCCTACGAGATTCGAACGCTGGCATAGTAGCATCACTCGATATATAAGTACCTAGCCCGTCTCATTCTTTAGGTCTTCTATCAGGTAGAATATCTATGTAACCTGCTTGCTATTCTCGTGTATAAAACAAAATACAATTACCTATGCAAGATGGCGACGGAGAGGCAATAGTTGAACATATAGGGATTGATCCGCAGTTGGCAGTACGCACAGATACTCTGGAGATCTTCTACGTCACGCATTCCTGTCAAAGATAAATTGAACATAGATCTTCACTTATACATAGATAGCTGATATGCTAGCGGCAGGACCAGAATGAATGACATCCATTTTAGCCATGGCAATTTGCTACAATCGTATGCTAAATTGTACTGGCGGTAGACTCTTCTATATCGTTCCCTCAGTGAGGATCGCGACCACTTGTGACGTTCTTCCACTGTGTTCGGTCATGGGCGGTACGGACCGCATGGTACAAATTACCATCAAGTGCTTCTCTTACTAGATCGGACCATCTGGCTGGTGTTCTGCCTACGGCGCGCTTGCCCTCTATGCGACCCGCAATTATGAGCATCTCTAATTCGTGTCTGGGAGACCGCGTGATCTGTCCGAAGAAGCTCATAACACATTCCCGGCAGATGGAAGAGAGTCTTTTTCGGATATTTAGTGGTAGGCACGTGTAGCTAAAACCATTCTGACTGTTTTTGCCGTGTAGCAGGCATGTGTTCCGATTTGAAGGTACAGCCTTTACACAATACGATTAAGGCTTGGTCCTCGTGTCTCAAGATGGGTAGAGGCGTTTACATTGTGATATCTGTGGACTCTGGTAACCACATAACACCAGATGGATAGTGAGCTCGTTCTCGCGTTCAATAAAAAAAAACAATGGATCTAAACTGTACCACATAAAACAATGATAATAGTTTTAAATGATTCCCAAAACTTACCCATAAAGATATCAATCAGCTTTCCTGCCATTTGCCTGTGTTTAGGGACGAACAAGGAGAACTGCTCGTTGTAGGGCAGCTCCATGGGCAGGTCCAGATTGGGCAGGGCAATGTTCCTGATGGGTATCATGCGGCCCGCGTCGCTACCGAACCTGCTGCTTATAGCATTTGACACACGCTGGTACTTCTCCGGCTGTAGACAAAGGTTATGGGCAAATTTTTATCCTCTTTGAAATTTACAGACATATGCGAGAAATATAGTCGTTTTGGCCGATCTGGCACAAACTCTAATTTTGCATACCGGAAGATAAACAGACATTGTCAATTCCATTTATAACAAAATTGTTTTAAACCACTAACGTTCTACTTCGTAGGATCTTACATTGGCCAAAACCAAGCATATATAATATAAATATATTTTGATTAACGCTAGACTTCATACATCTTTAGCCACTCAGCAAAAATTAAATGAGCTTGGCTGGGAGGTGTTAATGCATCCGCCGTATAGTCCTGACCTTGCAACTTCAAATTTCCACCTGTTTCGATCTCTTCAGAATTCTTTAGGCAGTGTTAGGTCAACATCACGAGAGGACTGCCAAAACCAATTGTCGCGGTATTTAGATCAGAAGCCCCAAAATTTCTGTAGCAATGGCATCATGTGGTACCTACATACTTTAGTTACATGTACTTCTTACAAGTGGTAAACAACAGCATCCTTTAGAATTCTCATTCACACTCACACATAAATACACCTATAATAATCTGAATTATGTACTAATTAAATTATAATTATAAATAAGAGCACCGATTTACATGTCATTTGCCGTCAAATTCAAATTGCAACTGTTTATTACAAATTATCGGATGATGAAGTAAACATGTTGAATACATTTTCTAATTTGAAACGAATAGTAGATATGTGAATGTTACAAAACATTTAAGAACCGTTTCTCTTCCTAAAAACGTTGTTATTTGCTATTATTGATTAATGTTTTACGAATCAAATAGAAATAAATATAGCATATGTGTTTATCGGAAAATACTGCAAATTATTCACTACAATAACCCAATAATAGCAACTTATCGAATACCGAAAAGAAAAAAACTTATGCATTAATAATGTGTAATGATGTTTTTCTCGTCATTCATATATTGACAAATTTCCCTTCTTCTTTTTTTTATTGCTTAGATTTGTGGACGAATTCACAGCCCACCTGGTGTTAAGTGGTTACTGGAGCCCATAGACAACTACAACGTTAATGCGCCACACACCTTGAGATATAGTTCTAAGGTCTCAGTATAGTCACAACGGCTGCCCCACCCTTCAAACCGAAACGCATTACTGCTTCATGGCAGAAATAGGCTACAACAAAATGGCTATTCCAAATATCTCCGGTAGAGTAAGTGGGAAAATTATAAAAAAACTCACAATATGTATTACGACCCATAGATTACGATTTTAACATAACAGCAAAAAGTCCATAATAGCACATTATCGACTTATTGCATGGCAGTGTCGTTTTATAAATCAATTTTTTTTTTTTGATTCTGTCAACGTTGGGATATAATGAGCACGTTGTAATGCGCACGAAGCGCTATTTCGAGAGAATTTTCGAGAGAACAAGAATCAAAAATTCAATCAAAACAGTGGACGCAATCGGGATGCCCGGCTCCAAAAAAAGGCATGGCTGTAAATACGGCTGGAAAAGTGATGGCTTCCGTCTTTTGGGATGCAGATGGGATCTTGATGATAGATTACCTTCCTAAAGGTCAAACAATTAATGGAGAATACTACGCTAATCTTCTAGATAATTTTCATCAATGTATTCACCGAAAACGGCCAGGTTTGGCGAAAAAAAAATCATCTTCCACCAAGACAACGCTAGGGTTCACACAGTGTTAAAGCTATGACAAAAATCAACGAATTGAAGTATGATTTGCTGCCCCTAACTACCTTATTCGCCTGATCTGGCGCCATCAGGCTTCCATTTATTCCCTAAGCTCAAAACTTTTTTGGGCGGACAGAAATTTGCCATAAATGTTGAAGTCATAGCCGCTGTAGAGGAGTATTTTACAGGCCTCGAAAGAAATCATTTTATGGAAGGCATTACTGCTTTAGAACGAAGATGGAATAAGTGCGTAGAGGTTCACGGAGACTATGTCGAAAAATAAAATTAATTTTAATCACGGAACGTTAAGTGTTTTATTATTAGGCTAGTTACTTATCATCCCGCCCTTGTACAACACCAACAACTCACGTAGTAATTGTCAGGAATCTCGAATACTGCCTTCTCTTCTCCCTTTTGCATGAAGCATGGCTCTGAGGGACGGTCGAAGAACAGTAACAGGTTGTTCTTGGCGTCAGACATCTTAAACATTAATAAAAAAAACCTTTTGTAATAACTATAAAAAATAAAACATTCAATGAATTATACAATAAACCATGAACGCTTACTTACTTTGATTTTAAACTAAAAGTATTCACGCTATAAAATCTAAAATCTAAAATTATTTTATGAAAAATAAAAAATAAATCTTAAATAATTGAAAATGAACTTTGATAAATATACCGGCTGGCCGTAGGAGGCACGGCCCGACTCTGGAGTTTGCAAATGGAGGCGATGTTTTTATTCAAAGTTTGATGCGCACGTTACTAATTTAAATTAAACAATTAATTTGAACAAAAACAGGAAAATGGTTTCAAAAATTGATTACAGCAGTATTGCACTGCGGTTCATCTATCGCTCTTTTTGTTTTGTTGTAGTAAACATCGATTTTGTCTCACCAAATTTGCATAAAAAAAAACTTCAGAGGTGTCAAGGGACACCCGGATGGAACGAAGTTCCTTTCGATTAATTAGTGAAGGAATTGTAATTTTTTTTTTAAGTTATAATAATAAATTACGGCATTATGAAGAAGAAAAAAACAATACTATGAACTAAATTACTATTGTTGAAACGCTATCTCGAGAAACTGTACTCATTACGCGGACCAATCGGATACGAGCAATGTCACGCGATAAGCGCCTACACGTTGATTGGTCAGAATGACGGATCTAAAAAGTTTCGTGACAACTTTTCGTAAAAAAAATTTCCGTCTAGCCCCCTTTCACAACGCGCGATAAGGAACTTCGTTCCAATAATACTAAGTACCGGTGGTAGAACCTCTTGTGAGCCCGCACGGGTAGGTACCACCACCCCGCCTATTTCAGCCGTGAAGCAGTAATGCGTTTCGGTCTGAAGGGTAAGGCAGCCGTTGTAACTATACTGACACCTTAGAACTTATATCTCAAGATAGGTGGCGGCATTTACGTTGTACATGTCTATGGGCTCCGGTAACCTGTTAACACCAGGTGGGCCGTGAGCCCGTCCACCCATCTAAGCAATAAAAAAAAATAAAAAAAATGAAGCAACTATTAAATAGTCTAATTTATAGTTTTCTTGTAGTCTAATAGAGTCCGCGCGGGTAGATACCTCTACCCTGCCTATTTCTGCAACGAAGCAGTAATGCGTTCCTATTTAAAGGGCTGGACAGCCGTTGAACTGAAACTTAGACTAATGTCTCGAGGTGGGTGGCGGCATTTACGTTGTTCTTACTTATTGGCCCCTGTCACCACTTAACACCAGATAAGCCGTAAGCTCAATCACTCGTCTAAGCAATAAAAAACGTTGAAAACCTTCCTTGTGAATAGAATGGTATCGCGCTAATACTTAACGTAGCGACCAAACCCAAACACTGTGTTTCGTATCAACCTTGTGCGCTGTTTCCGGCTAAATCCAGGAAAATCCGAGAATACGACGTGGAAAAGGCTACAAACCCGATGGTGTCGGAAATTATATAAAAAGAACAAAAATTGTTTCTTGACAAAAATAATGGAAACAGATTTAGCATGAATTGAACAGTACATAAAAGATACATTAAATCAATAAAGAAAACATTACACACCCTACATACCATGTATTTGACGCACACACGCATGCATACTATTTATTGTCAAACTTTTGTTCTTGACGTCTGTGGTCAAATTGAGAATAAATATTGTTTGTCTTTGCTAATATTTTTTATAGTGTAGTCTTGGCGAAATTTGTGATTATAAAATACAATCATAATAGTGTACAAACTTATTATACAATTCCAATTAATTATAGTCGAATTTCGACTACTGCGGGACCTCTAGTTTTAATAATTGCTTTTAAGTGACGCACAGGCGTGAATAAAACGGGTCCATATTATATCTATTTAAATAATTTTCCTAAATATTAAATACTATAATATTGTAAAAATGTTATATAAAAATAAGTCTGCCTTAGACTGCAACACGCGATAAAACTGACAGTATAAAAATTACCACAAATATTATCATCTTTTCAAACCGCTGCATAAAAAGAATGCAAATATTCAGAATCATTAAAAATAACATTGGTCTGCAACAAAATTCTCTTTAAAAAAATAAATTCGCAGAAGTGATGATTTTATTGCCCAGTTTTTTTTTTGCATAGGTAGGTGAACGAGCTCACAGCCCGCCTGGTGTTACGTGGTTACCGGAACCCATAGCCATTTACAACGTAAATGCCACCACCCGCCTTAAGATATGAGTTCTATGGTCTCAGTATAGTTACAACGGCTGTCCCACCCTTTCCAAATGTACGTTAAGAAAAATTGAGAACTGCTAGGGCAAGCGGGTGGTTTAACATATTACGCTCAAGAAAACATAATATAACATTTTTTTTATTGCTTAGATGAGTGGACGAGCTCACAGCCCACCTGGTTTTAAGTGGTTACTGGAGCCCATAGACATCTACAACGTCCTGCCACTAGTAATTACGCAAATTATAATTTTGCGGGTTTGATTTTTATTACACGATGTTATTCCTTAACCGTGGAAGTAAATCGTGAAGATTTCTTAAGTACGTATTTCATAAGAAAAATTGGTACCCGCCTGCGGGATTCGAACACCGGTGCATCGCTACACACGAATGCACCGGACGTCTTATCCTTTAGGCCACGACGACTTCTAAAACATATAAATACGAGACTCAATTCGCCAAGTAGACTCATAATTGTATGACGTTAAAATTTTAATTTTTTGGTTTCCATTTTAATTTTAAGTTATACTTTACACAAACCTACATAAGTCTTAGCACTTGAAATAAAAGTGTACTCGTGTGGTCTGGTAAGGCATATAAAGAATAATGACTCCTACTTTGGAGACATCATCATTAATTACAACAAAATGCCCAGAGATATTTTAGGTTTAACCTTTTAAAGCTTAAAATTGAAAGCACGTTAATAGCAAAAGCTTTACTGGTGGTAGAACGTCTTGTGAGTCCGCACGGGTAGGTACCAGCACCTCCCTATTTCTGCCGTGAAGCAGTAAAGCGTTTCGGCTTGAAGGGCGGGGCAGCCGTTGTAACTATACTGAGACCTTAGAACTTATATCTCAAGGTGGATGGCGCATTTACGTTGCAGATGTGCAGTGTTTGTTATGTACTTCATATACCGCGGCACGCTCCGCTCACAGTAGTAATAAACCAGCTGTTATTACGTACGGTCGTTTCATTGCCCCTAAGTTCCGATATAACAATTGGCGACGAATTACCAACAAGTGCATGTATATATTTAAAAAAAACAAATCGGCTCAACTTATGGGAAACTTATCTGAATTTGATTATAAAACCCAAGAATGGCAGATCTTTTACAAGAAATTAGAAAATTTTGTAAAGTTGAACAAAGTTTTAGCTGAAGATTGATGCTGTGTGCTTATTGCACATCTTCCAGATGATTCGTATCGGCTTGTGAGGAACCTCATGATGCTAAGGAGGTAGAAACAATACAATGGACTGAGCTGGTTAAAGTACTCAACGGACATTTTCAACCGAAAAGATCGACTTTTGCCGACAGGGCAAAATTTTATGGTACGACCAGAATGGACGGTGAGAAAGTCGAAGTTTGGGCGGCACGTCTGAGGGGACTCACCGTGCACTGTAATTTCGGTACAGAATTAGATACGTTGCTACGTGATCGATTTATTCTAGGCCTGAAAGTAGCTCCAGAAAGAAATCGATTATTCAAACAAGACTCGAAGTCCCTCACGCTTTCGAAAGCTATTGAAATAGCCCAGGAGACTGCGTATGCGCGGGCGGCCAGAGCTGATGTTGATGGTGGTGAGCAACTCATCAAACAAGAGATGGTGTATCGTGTCAGCGAGCGCAGGCGGAGTCGTCGTGGGCATCGGCTCGACGGCGGCATCCGCGCGCTGCACAGTGTGCGGGTTGAAAGGTCATTAAGTAGAAAAGTGCCGTTTCAAAGATTATAAGTGTATGATTTGTGGTAAAAAGGGTCACCTTAAGAAAGTGTGCAGTGTCAAAAGGGTCGGAAACTGTCGTTAAATAATATGGATGATAACGAAAGCGATGGACATGAATGTAAAAAATGTGTATTGTATAATTTGAGGTATGAGGTATTCGCTACGAGTTGGACATTTCTATAAATAATAAGTTTTATTCTATGGAAGTAGATCGCGGAGTTGCTTGTAGTGTAATTTCAGAAATATTTTACAAGGATAACTTCCGATTATACAAATTAAGTAAGTCTGATATAGTATTTTGTCTTTATACTAAACAAAGTTACGCCCGTAGGTTATTTCGAGTGTGAAGTAAGTAGCAGCGGTATTATGAAGCCTATGTTGTTTTATGTAATTTCAGAAGATGGTCTACCATTATTAGGGCGGGATAAGGTGGTAGGACCCCTTGTGGGTCCGCACGGGTAGGTACCACCTCCCTGCCTATTTCTGCCGTGAAGCAGTAATGCGTTTCGGTTTGAAGGGTGGGGCAACCGTTGTAACTATAGTAAGACCTTAGCACTTATATCTCAAGGTGGGTGGCGCATTTACATTGTAGATGTCTATGCGCTCCAGTAACCAATCTAAGCAATAAAAAAATCATGACACAATTTAATATGAGTTTGGTTTCTATGTGTAACAATAATAATTTATCTGTTAGAACGGAATACCAAGAGGTGCAGCAGAATATGAATGAATTCCCTGACATTTGGAAAGATGAATTGGGCCGTTTTAATAAATATGAAGTACATTTACACTTGAAAGAAAATACAACACCTAAATTTTTTGAGCTACGCCAAATACTGTTTGGTCTAAAAGACAAGGTTGAGGAAGAATTAGATAGATTTGTCGAAGCAGGTATACTATAGTTATTTTATTTTACCAGTACAGTTTTCAGATTATGCTATATACGCCCATAGTACCAGTTCTGAAGGAGAATGTTTTTTTTTTATTGCCCTTGTAGGCAGACGAGCATACGGCCCACCTGATGGTGAGTGGTTACCGTCGCCCATGGACTTCAGCAATGCCAGGGTTAGAGCCAAGCCGCTGCCTACCTGGTAAAGTGAAAATCCCTGAAGATGTTTTGTGTGCCCTAAATAAAGTTTTAAGACAAATATTTTCGCGAAGTTAGGCGGCGGAGAATATTATTCTAAGCTAGATTTAAGTAATGCCTATAATCAAATTTGTTTGTCTCAAGCCTCTCAAGACCTCACAACCATAAATACCGAAAGACCTTTTCTAATACA